ACTCTCTCGGTGCAATCCATTCGTTTGCTCAAATACGTTTTTTTTTCCTGTTGTTTGTTCCTTCTGGCAAGCTTGTACGTATCTCGGTCTCGCTTTGCCCACTTCAGCGCTTGCTGTCGCATCCACTTTCGTGTTTAATTGATATTAATAGAGTTAGAGTGCTAGCCATTATGTTTGGTACCATCCGCTGAAATGGTCCTTTGTTTTTTTTTCTTTTTCAACGCGCAACAAAAAGTAACCATATCATTACCATCATTCTCTTTGGAATATACACCATATTTTTTCACTTCTTCTCAACTCCTTTTGCACTGTTAATCAGCACAAAAGCGAACAATTTAATTATTCATTTTCTTTTCGGTAAATTTACATTGGTTTTTCTTGGAATTTTATTCTCAACGTCCATTTTTTTCCGTTACGAAAATGATTGTCGAACCTGAGTCTTGCCACGTCAATATGGCCCATGGGTGGGGATTTTTAATAAAATTCGCTTCAAGTTTGTAGTTAAGATGTTAATTTGTTCTCGGGAGCAATTCTTGAAGAAAAAAGTGAGTTGTCGAACAATTTGTTGTTGGGTTTTCTTTGTGGGCATTGAAGAGAAGTTAAAAATTAAATCTGATTTCAGATTTATAACTTTTCCAACCAAGATTTGGAAACAAAGAAAAACCTTATAAAATCCAGGATGAAAATACGCACTCACATCTTGTCATATTCCAATTTTCATGAATGTGATACGTGGAAAACACAATTTTATTCCATTTTACATTAAGACTCGTACACAGATCTTTTTCATCCAAACGAAATCTTCATATTTGCATTTACTTATTTAAGAAAATTAAGTATTTTCTTCGTCAAAGAAAAAAAGGCTAGGAAATCATATGATTAACCACATATGAGAAGAGATGTGATACTCTGGTACAATATTTGCGGAGTCTTCTTCAACCATTTTCGCATAGCAAACAAGAAATTTTGATCTAATTTCTCGAAAAAGAAAAATGTATTGAAAGCGTTACAGAAGTTTGAGCTGGGAATTTTTGCTTCTAGAAAAACAATAATAGGAGAACGCAATAGACGCAAGAGAGAGAGAAAGAAACTCTTCTGGAAAATGTGTAGAAATCGGCGTGTAATAAATTCCATATGGAGTCGGAAACCGTAAACGTACCTAAATTACCTTTCGTTAGTGTAAACTATCGTAATTAAAAACAACTTGGCATACACAAAATCTCTCGCACCCCAAGTATGATAGAGATAAAGAGGGAGAGAAAGTCAGGGATGAAATTGCTCATTTCAGAAATGGATTTGATTTTCAACTTTGGTATCATAAATAATAACAACTATTATTGTTATTGTTTCGCGTTCATATACACATCGCTTATGGCTTTTATAGCTCCAACATGCCCTGTAACGTACCCAACGAACAAAAAAGACCGACCGAACGAGAGAGAAACTCTGTATTAGAGAAAATCAGCAAATGATTACAATTTATTTCTCGGTTCAGCGCATTTGTTAATTATAAATTTAAGCAAAATGAACCCGTTCATGCGGTGCGTTATGATATATTTCGGCGGTAAAATGAACGGGCTGTGGATATACATGTATGTGGAAAAATATTTCAGTTATTCGATCTTGTAGTTTGCTTGCTTTGGTTAATGTTTTTGCCATCAAATGGAAACGGCATCTTACATTCAAGTACAACCCACTTTATTTATTTATTATTTCTTCGCGCTATGCTTTGATAACGACAACTACGACGCCATCGTCTAATACACATAGCATATGCTGAGTACTTTCGAGTTAGAAATTTCGTCTCTCGCTCAAGGCTTCCATGAAACTCTGCATTTATAGCTATAATTGACTGAATTTTGGTTTTATTAATTAATATTTCATCCTGTTATTAGTCGAACTTTGATTGAATTGCTACTGCCAAAACTATTTCGATGCGTCTTTAAACTTCCGATGCAAACATCAAAGAGAGTTGGAGTTCTAGTTTTTGGCAAGAAATTGGTCCAATTAACTGTGTTGTGAATTACTTCGACTATTTCAAACGGCACACGAATTACTTGCCAACGGCATCTTCTTCCTCGAACGGTGTTTGATGGGTAATGTACCAGCGCCGACTTATCCTGGAGGGGAATGAGGCAACCGCCTCAGGGCCCCGAGATTTTAGGGGCCCCGAGCTGCTTAATGGGCCATTGAAATTTCGAGAAAAAATGCATGAAAAAAAACAAATTGACGAACGAAGTTGTTTGTTTTCCTTCAAAATTGATTTTAGATGATGTTTCATTTAAATATATTCTCAATCTATGTGTTCTTTTCATTCTCAGCCATTCAAATTCATTCGTTAAATAAGAACGCTCATGACCAGCAGTTTTGACCAATATATAAAACATAAATGAGTACTCGTGTACAAATTTTGTAACTGACTTATTGTCAGTTAACTGATTTCGGACAAAAATGACTTACTTTGATTGACATTTGAGTACAAATTGTAGTGTAAGTCTATCATAGTTAACTGAAATCATTTGAAGTTGCAAGTCAATGTAAGTTACTTAATTTGGGACAAAGTGATTTTCTTAGTACAAAACCATAAATTCAATCAACTAAAGTCAACTGAAGTTACACTCAGTCAGTCATTTTTTTCACGAATGCAGTGTTTGAATCAATCGAAATTGTCACAATATTCAAAATTTTAAAACTTGTGATATCAAGGAAAAAAAAATTTGGGCCCCGGAACAATTTTGACTCAGGGCCCCCGAAAATGCTAAGACGGCACTGTGATGTACAGTTTTGGTAGTTTTGGCAACAAGTTTTCACCGAGCGAATATAAATCTTTTCTGTTGTTCTATATACCTGTAGCAAAACCTGCACACTGCATGTGTGTGCACTTGCCTTGGCTAGTTGGCCGGCTGTGGCGTATCGTCAACCTGTGAAGCATCGCTGAACACATTTATCTTTGGCTTTTCATGGTTATTTGAATGGAGTTTCCGCACTAAATCAAGAATTATCGCTTCTGAATTGAGTGCACGTTTCCAAGGGAAAACTTTACATCATTCAGTATTCAAACGTTGGTTTGCTGTAATAAAATGATTCACCCAAACATACCACCACCTGGCGCTTATATATACTTTGTAATGGCCGTTTGGAAGGAAATCCTTTTATACATTTGACACAAAATAAATGACGCACGAATAGGAACCCTTTTTCGGTATATTGATGGAATTTTGAAACCATCATGTATTGTTAATTGTGGGTCAAACTAAGAGATTGATTGTTTTTATTGTATAGATTAGAGTGTGGAAGTTTTGCTAGACTTGATTTTGCGAACCCGTTTTCTCATACTGAAATGAATTCCGACAGTTTGTAGAAACATTTAAACTACCAACTCTACTACTACATCCATGTCTCAAATGACGTTGTGTTCTTCGACACTCGACGCAACTATGCGTGAATTATGTGCATCTACCGTGAAATATGATTTAAAATTTTCTTCTTTTATGAGTCGATAAATATTTTCACATTGTCTGGGGAAAAATTCATAGACTCATAAAATATTTCAATTTGTACCGAGTCAATTTATGCAGCTGTTACTTCATAAAAGAATTACACTCAATAAAAATGTTAATTCCTAACGAGCACCTGAAATTGGATAAATTGCCATGCAAAGAAAGAAATAAACAATCAAACAAGCACACAGTCGACAACTGGCATGAAATGCCGAGGAAACCAAGTGAATAATTTGCAATTGGTTGTATTATTGCTGGCGCTCGCGCAAATGTTAATTAAATTTAGTTGTTCAGCCTTTTAAGTTATGTAAGGATTTTTCCATTTGCGTGGTAAATTTTTGATTGCAAGTAACAACAAACAAACAAATGCTTCTCTCTCTCTCATCCATGTTGGACGTATGCTTGGCGCGCGCACTCAACTGCACTTTGCATTATTCATTCGAATGAAATATGCATTGAAGAAGTATTTCATTTCGTTGTGCATGATTTAGCCGAGGTTTTCTGCATATTTCATCGTTTTCTATGCTATGTATGTGTGTCTATGTCTATGTTGCAATTTCACATTTTTAAATCGAATGAAATTACGTGCATATTTCCGCTGTTTTCCTGATATTTTAGACGGAAAAAGGACACTCACAAACGATATTCGAAAGGTATATCGAGGATTTGAATGCATTTACTTTATGGATGACACATTTTCGATGAAAAAAGTAACAGCCACACATATTGTGCTTTTTATCGGCAGAGAGACAGCGACAGTTTTGGCTTATGGGTAAAGTGGGCGATTTTGAAAAGAGCACAATTCCAACTCAAATTGCCAGATAAATACGTAACGGGTTATGCGATTCGTTTGCATTTCCGCCTGTTAGCTATACATTTATTTTGTATTTTTGACCATATTTTTGTGATGGCATACCTATAAAAAAAAACAAACAAACACACTGATTCGATGCAAAATATTCCTAGGCAAAATGTCGTTGTTTTATGTGCGAAAGAAAGGAAGAATGCTTGCTTCAAAATGTAGCAAACAGACACATTGTTATGCAAAATGTTTTCCAAAAAATGAAAGACAACAACAACATAAATGAAAAAAAAGTGCTCGTAGAACCAGAGAGCGAAACAATATTTTTCCGTACATCCATTATTCATGTGCAACGGATAGAACGACACTAAAATACGAGCGAACGAGATATTGTATGCATCGCATGAAGTATGACGATTTTAAAAAATATTCTCGACAACAAAATGGAACGCCTTGCAATTTTAGCTCGATAGCAACAGTAAAACAAATGGAGAAGAGGAAGAAGCAAACAAAAACGGACGAGCATAAAAATTCATGGCGCTCGAGCGATAAAGGAAATAAAATGTTGTATTGAAGTATTGCGCTTTAGCTTGTGTGCAATTTGGTTTATTGAGCATTATAGATGAATTAGAAGCTTTACGTCACTCTTTTTACGTCAAGATGAAATTTTATTTCCTTTTTTTTGTTTCTATTTTCAGATGAACACCAGCGTATCATGAGCATTTGAATTTCTAACGAAAATCACCACTCAACACGAAAACAAGAGACGTATAAAGTTAAGAAAAAAGAAGAGCAGATTTCTGTTTTCTCAAAATTGAACCAATGAAGACACAGCATACATGATGGCAATAAGGATACACAGAATTATTTCGATGCAACCGAAAATGACGCTAGTTTATGTACTCATCATCACCATTTTTGCCGTGATCCAGCCAGCCGTCGGCGATGCCGAATGGATGAACGATTGTGGTGTGTGCCATTGCAAATGGATTTCGTCGAAGAAACAGGCTGACTGCAAAAATACATCGTTGATATCGGTGCCGAGAGAGATGAGCGTTGAACTGCAAGTGATCGATTTATCATTTAATACCATACCCGAATTGCGAGGCAACGAATTTAAAGATGCTAATTTGCCGAACTTGCATAAAATTTACATGAAAAACTGCACACTGCAAGAGATTCACCGTGATGCATTCAAAGGGCTACATTTGCTTATCGAATTGGATTTGTCGAATAACTTTCTGAAAGTACTGTATCCCGGCACGTTCACCGACGTGATCCGATTGCGTGTACTGATTGTGACACACAATCAACTCGAATACTTGGACGACAATCTGTTTGAGAACATGGGCTTCTTGGCCAAAGTCGATTTTCGATACAATCAACTGAAATCCATCAGTCAGCACACGTTCGTCAACGTGTCGGCAATACGTGAAATCGATTTGGAAAATAACCAATTAACGGTACTAAAAGAGGAATCATTCCGTGGAATGGACAATTTGCGCAGTTTGACGTTGAACCAAAACCCATGGAATTGCACATGCGATTTGCAAGCATTCCAAAAGTTTGCAATCACCCGGGGACTGTATACGCCACCCACTGACTGCCATTTGCCGATGAATTTAAGGGGAAAACTCTGGACCGATGTACCGGCCGAGAATTTTGCCTGTCGTCCAGTTATTCTATACCCACACGATGGCTTCACCATTGACGCGAACACTGAAAATATTACGATTTCATGCCAACTCAAAGGCTCACCGAAGCCACACATCGACTGGTTGTACAACAATCGACCGATGAATTTGGAAGATCAACGCATCAGCATTCGTGATACTCAGGATGAGAATCGACGCGGTTCCATCGACTATTACGTCTCCGAACTGCACATTGTTGGTGTGAAAACGGAAGATCGTGGAACGTACACTTGCCTAGCAAAGAATACAGGAGGTGTAAGCAAAGTCGATACTCATGTGGCAGTTACATCAGTTTTGGAATCAGTTGATGGTATGGGTATGGGTATAATTGGCAGCACTGCCGGCGTTCCGACCAACAATTCACCCAATATACTCTTCATCGTCTGCTTAGTTGCCATTGTCCTATTGACACTACTCATTATTGTGGTACTCATTTTGTGCTGCTACTGCCGCCGCGTGAAGACATACTCCAAAAATGGTTCAATCAGTGAGAATGGCTTGGTCGCAAGCAAAATAGATCGCTCAACCGATGGATCGATGCTTGAAGGATCGGTTATAATGGAAATGCAAAAGAGTTTATTGACCGAAGTGAATCCAGTCGAAAAGCCACCGCGACGAAGCGAAACTGATGGCAAGAGCATTCCATCCGATGACGTGCAAGAAATTAAGAAGACCCTTTTGGATGAACAATCTTATGGTGAGTATTTTTGCTGATTCTTCAACTTAAAAATGAAGACTAATTTGATTATGTTTATTTGCTCTCTCCATAGGTCATCATGAAGACGAAACGCACTCAATCGCGCTGTCAGACACAACGCCACGGTCCCGTGCAACATTCGTCGATGATGGATATGGTACAAATCTTCCACCGGATCTTCTATCGTTCCCATCCCGATATCCGCCATCGTCGTCAACTCAAAGTTCAATTACGAATATTCCCGAAGGCAATTTGTACATTAAATCGCCGATCGCAAGTCCAATCTATCAGCACAATGCGTACGCAGCACAACAGGCCGGCTATCGAACATTGCAACATCCGAAAAATCGAAATTTGGCCATAATCAATCCACGCACCAGTTCACCGTTTCAACCGGCACCAATATTGTATGCACCAATCATGATGAAGCAACAAGGTTACGTAACAATTCCGCGCAAACCGCGAACACCCAGTTGGGCACCATCGATTACATCGACACTGGTCGATTTTCCGCCGACATCGCCAACATCAACAATATCAACGGAATTGGCAATCGATCCAATTTACGATAATCTCGGCCTAAGAACGTCAGCCAGTGGCCATTCCGCGTTGAGCGTGAAAAAGCAACAACAGCTACTGCTACAGCAGCAACATAACCAACCGATGGCCGTGTCAGTGTCGGGTTCATTGGATCACATAGGAGCTGGGCCAAGTTATACGATGAAAGATCGCCCATTGCCAGCGACACCACGAATTTATGAACCAATACAGGAGCAGCAGCAAATATTCCCGAATGGCGGCGAACTGTGCGGCATGAACGACGAAACCGAACTGCTATTCAATAAATCAATTGAACCACATCCAATTATAGTTAGCGCAAATGCAATTAATAATAATTTAATTTCCAATATTAACACATCTAATCTAAGTAATAGCAACAATAATAATCCAAATACAAATGGTATTTCGGACAAATCGGCGGCGGCGCAGTCAGCCGCGGCAGCAGCGGCGGTAGCAGCATCGAATAAAGTGCCGCCAAGGCCACCACCAAAACCAAAAAAGAAAATGACAACCATATCAGCGATCACCGAAAACCCCGAATTGGCTGCCGACGGCACGCACCTCTTCCAAGATGAATGCGAGGATGGAACTGAAGTCTAAACAAAATTACCCAAACAAAACACACACACACAATTTCTATCGATTAGCCGTTCGATGACGATCCGAATTCATATTTTTCCCCAAAAAACCAAACATTTCGGCTTAAGCATTTCGGTTTCTAATTAACAAACACATACACAGAGAAAAATCTATTTGATATTAAAATTGTTGTTGACTTGTAACATAACCAAATGCCACAAGCACAAAATGTACATGCAAACAAATTTATTGAACCACACAGAGATACACAAAATCATGTGGTATGAACTTATGGCAAAAATGTTACACAATTTTAATAAAATGAAAGAGAAAAGCATCTTGAAAATACTAAATATAGCATATGAATGAACATAGCAACACAATTTATTGAATGGCGAAAATCAAATCGCAAATCATATTGATTGAAACACATTTAAGACACAATTCCCCCATCCTCAACACGTTTTAAGAACAAAACAAAGGAAATACCAGGCAACAAAATGAGATAGCTGGTCATCTCGGCTCACGCTTGGTTATCGAGATAACTTGAATTATTTCGAGCGATCAATTGTATTTTGAAAGGTGGAAGCCAAACGTTATGTATGGATTTTTCTCTTTTTCATTGATTGAACGTTTGGATACAACTTCCAAAATACAATTGATCGCTCGAAATAATTCAAATTATCTCGATAACCAAGCGTCAGCCGAGATGACCAGCTATTTCATTTTGTTGCCTGGGAAATACTGTTAGTCAGTAAGCATAAAGAAAAGGAAAATGTTATTTAAGTCAAGCATTAATTATGTAGTTGATTTTAATTTCTAATTGAGAGAGATGAAACAGCGACGAAGAAATTAAAACAGAAGAAGAAAAAAAAAAACGATTTGTAATTAACGTTAGATTGAAGTATAAGGAAATTGCATATTCAGCCATTAGATAATCATGTACTTCTTTTCATTTGGACATTTTCTTTGATTTCTATTTCAACACTTGCCCCATTGAGACTATAAGCTCTAAATAGGGATTCAACGGCCAATTTTACGCGATGCATATTTAAGGGCTGAAATGATACAAACAAACGAACATTGCCATGAAACAAATTTTAATTTGCAATCACATCAACAACGGTCACTATCAATGCATATATTTCGAATTTACGTTTGGAGAAAGGAAGAATGCAACTAAAATAGAAATAAATGAATGTTTTTAATGACAAATAATATGTATGTTTACGAACTATGTAATGTAAAATCAATTTTCGAGACGACTAGATCAAGACCAAAAAAAAAATCGGTCGATGCAACAAAAAACGAAAGAGCAGCCAATGTCGCATTCAAATCTTCATCAGTAACACGATGTGCTGAACTCTAACCGTCTTTTTGAGTGTACTATATATTTGCAAATTCACAACACGTATATATATGAATTGATGTCTGTTGTATACGTAATTTTAAACAAACTTTTTCGACAAAGCTACACCACACAAAATACCTAAAACAAATTACACAACAAAACAAAACCAAACTGGCTATAAATCTATTGTAAATTTAAAACAAACACTTTGCAGATGATATATATAAATATATACATATATAGTTGTAATGCAAGAACCTAGTTAAATTCTATGTGTGATTTTATTGAATGAATCAAAACTGGATTGTACGTGTAACAAAAAAAAACAAAAACCCTGAAATTCATTCTCACCTTAGAGCTTTATATCACCGTTTTTTCCTCCCATTCTGTCCCCGAACCGCATATTACCTACCCCCTGCACCCACACTGTGAATGATATATAGATTTGTAGAGCATGTTCAATGTGCCAATCGACTGAATTCACCTCTTCTCTCCAAATGTCTTAATCATGTTTAATTCGCACTTCGACCAAAAACCGTTATTTTTTTCCTGTGCTAAGCATTTTCAGTTTTTTTTCCCATGCAAACAGAATATATTCTTTGTGTATCTTCCAAATGTGATGACTAAATGGTGTATTCGATATGAGAGAAAAAAAAAACAATGTGATTTCGAGTTTAAATCGAAATTCGAGTGGAAGAAAAATGAGAAATGAGAAGAAAAAACCTACGAGAATATCATTAGAATTTCTGTGTCTTGCCTTTTGAAATAAATTATAATGATAAACTAGGATGAAAAAGAGAACCTCTCTCTTGAAACTCTAATTTAGTTAAAGAAAAAAAATTGTAATTCATCCATACACACACACACAAACACACACTCGAAACTCTATATTTTTCAGTTAAGTTTTACATGCAAACTATGCGCATATGAAAATAGTATGTAAGTGATTTTGTGTAAGTTTCAAGTTTTTTTTTCCTTCGGGCGCTAACGTTTATTTTTCAAACGATTCAAGTTTTAGTTTTTCTATGAGTGTGGTGATGTGAGCATCACTTGGAAAGATTCAAACAGAAAAAAAAACCAGAACGAATTATCATCTAAGTTATCGTTTTTAAGTAAATTATGTTCATTCTAACCGATTCGATTTTAATTTTGCGGTAAATTTTTTGCTAATTTTAAAACTTTTTAATCATCTTTTAGCCAACGCATGTTTTACTCATTACATTTTTAATATTTTGACTTTTTTCAGCCACACAATTGTTGATTTGGATAAGAAATTTATCATTAAGTCAAAAATCAAATACTTGTAAATTACGAAATAGATATATGTACAATAAATGAATAAAAAAGAAATCAGCACACTGTCTTCATTACGGAAATTTCTCCTTTTTCCAGCAGAAACAAGAAACCAATTGAGGTTTTTTGCACCAGAAAGCAATGCAAACCGCTGAAATAGTAAGTACTTCATTTTCTGTAGATCCTCGAGGTCATTTCTTTAATACACAAATGAGCCCCGACGTTTAATTAAACCACTATTAATGAACACAGAAATGGCTTCGAATGAATGGCTTTCATAACCATAATGGAAAAATGGAAATATTAAAAAATGTCTTCATTTCAACAAAATGGTGATAATTCAACAGAATGTGAAACATGTAGCTTTTTTTCTGAAATCTTGGAACCTAATCATTCCATAGCAAATATTAACCCATTTAGATATACACCATTTTTTTCAATTTTTTTTTTTTAGTTCGTAGCTATATATAGCTACGAGTTATAACTTGAGATCGTGGCGGGCTTGATAGAAAAGTAGAAAATCTACAATATCAAACTGTCCTATGATATATGCTATGTATCTAAGCAAATAAAATACCAGGAAAAGACTGAAAAAGTAATAAATTTTAAGACCGAGTGGTCTATAATGGGTTAATGTTGCAACTGTGAACATTTTCTGTTTTTTTTCACTTTTACTTTTCCTTTTCAATTTCGAATTTAGTTTGCAACATGTTTTGTCGTTGTTTTCATTAAATTCGCTGTACATTTCTTGAGCATTATATTGGCCCAAGGGGATCGAAGGAATGAAACACAAATTTTTTGCAGCTAATGAGTGAGAGTGAAAGGTCCGATGAGAAAGAGACTAGGGGAGATGTAGACGATTGGTTGTGCCCCGTTCCACGATTGATATCTATTGAACTGCCAAACGGGAAGGAATGTCGAATTGAATCGTTGATCGAATAGTTGTAACCGCCATTGTGGACCGTACTAAACTTTAGTTTTCTTTCGGATTGTGTTTTCAAGAATATAGACATCTCCATTTATCTCGTTCAGACTGTCTTCTTCACTTCATTATGTGGTTTATTTTCTCTCCTTCTTCTTCCTTTTTTCGGTGTGGTTTTGATATAAGTTTATCTTCAAAGTTTCATCTCGGTGTGGATCTTTTCATAAACTCAATTCCTTCAGCTCTCACACACAGAGATGCAGACACAGATAGCAGCCAGTCAAGTTGAAATATTACAATCTCATTGCAAAAAAAACAGCACAAACAATTCGTTCTTCCATTGCTTACGATGACGACTGATATACTTCCGAATGACGTAAAATTTCGTAGACTCGACGATGCAGAAATTTCATAAGCAACCATTTAAGCAGTATATTTTCTATTTAAGTTTTTACTTAGTTATTTACAAACCGACCGACGGACTATTTGTGACACAAAACGACCACAGCACAACTTCAGTGATTTTTCAGAGTTTTTTTGTGCGAAATGTTGTTGCCATTTTTTCCATGGTTCGCTCAATCTTTCCACGATGACGATGCGGTCAGTGCACACTGCAAATGGTTGAAAACCACAAGAAATAGCAAGATAAAAGTCAAATAGTTTTCATTGAGCAGCGTAGGGAAATCGAAAATGCTGAAAAAAAAAATTGATATCAAGAATTGCTCATTCAAGTAAATGCCTTGATGTGTTATTTATCGTCATTTAAAATGTGCGTACAGGTCGTTATTGTACTCACACAACATCTTTGTTTTGCTATTTGGAATTGATATCTTTGATTTTAACTCTTTCCAAGCTTCAAGTTATCTCTGTAATATACAGGGTGGCGCACTCGAAGTGTAACTAAAACAAATGACTTCTCACGTCCACCATTTTTTTTTCAAATGTGTTTGCACGTGGTAGTTTTGAAAAAACTTGAACTTTAGGAAGAAATCTAATATAGTTTGGGTAACCACAAACCATGCCAATGATAAGATTCTAGTTTGTAGAATATTATAAAAGAACTCCAGTCTTTATTGGACCACTATCACCCATGTATAACTCCTTTTGAAAGTCGGAACTGTGATAATCCCGAATTATTGGATTTTCTCGCCATTTTCTCCGTTCTGACCCCAAAATAAGTGACATCATGTGACGTCATTGGTGCTTGGGTGACGATCGGAGCTCTATAAATATAAAAAAGGCAATAATTGTTCTAAAAGATTCCAATAAAATACATAAATTTAACCCATACTGGAAGAAAGCCATGCTTCGGTGAAAAAAAACGACTTTTTGGAGCTCATTTTGGCCGACTATTGGCTGTTGAATTAAATGTAGAGGGTTTCCAAGGACTTTCATTCCTAAAGTATATTGCAAGGCACCGTTAGCCCACAAAAATACCAAACATGGATTATCCCAATGTGAAGACTATAGCCAGAATAAGAACTAATTCCAAACACCCACGTTCGTGCAGGGCGCATGTTATTGAATCGTAGTCTTTAACTCATAACTCGATCCAATGCAATTGAAATCGAAATCATTTTACAACATTTCATGCCTTTAGAGCAATGAAAAATATAAAAAAAATTGTCTTTTGTTTTAGTTACACTTCGAGTGCGCCACCCTGTACATACAATTCTCAAATCTGAATAAAACAATGGAATCATGAATATTAAGTCGTAAGTTGAATTACTACGCCATCACAGTGATTGGTTTAGTTTTGGCGCTCAACTATCTTTATTGCTTGCGTGATTTTCACACAGAGAAGTGAATTTGCGAAAGCAAATCTTATTGATTAGTATAAATTAATCCGTAAAACTTTTCGCAAAACACATACTTTGTTGGCGGGGAGATAGAGAGGAGGAGAGGACAATGCGTCTGAAATGTTTCATCATGACATGCACAACCACTGCTTTCATAACAGTTCTTGTGTGTGAGTATGTTTTTGTGTGCTTGAGTGTTTTTATTCCATTAAGATCTCATTTATTTTGCCTCGGAATTTATTTTCAGCTTCGATGCTGTCACAAACAATTTCGTGCGCAAATTCTGACATGGAACATTTCAAGTAACTGCTTAAGATAGGTAAAATTCGATTGAAGTCCTTTCATTATCATTTGCTGATTCTACAGAGACACGCAAATTTATCTATTTTTTAGCTAAATGTGGATGAAATAATAGCTAATGTGAAATGTCTAATAATAAAATTCGCATTCAATTCGTTCAATTGCAGTGAAAATTGTTAGTAAAAATTGTTACCTGTTTCGAAAACTGAAAATAATAATCTTCAATATTCATTAAAAAACTAATTAAATTTCAATAGAAAATAGCAATAAAAAATTAATTAGCCAAAAAGTTAGCATATAAATTAGCATTGGCTGGTCATCATAGCATGAATTACTTGCATCATATTGAACATTTTATAGCTGAAAATAAATAATTTTTTTCCACGATACGACCGAAGTTCTCATAACGAATGAATTGATTTGTTTTTTGTTTTCACAATAGCCATTTGTGTGACTCCATCCACTTCATAAGCTTTTCTGTTGAGTACACATAAAGTACTCGTTTCGAGATTTTCGATACGAGATTTTTCTTGCTCCACTAACTCTTCCAAAGAAAAGCCACAAGAAAGTTCGCATCTTGAAGTGGAGGAAAAGGATTCAATGGGTCACTCCATTCGATATGTACGATAATGGAGCTGAAAAAAAGACTGTGCGCTCTTGTGATGTTCACAGGAATAAGCATGGGCTGGACGCGCACATTTATGCATAAGAGTTTATTACGGTAATCACATTTTGGTTCCTAATAAATGTTAGAATTTTCGAGGATTAACCAATACTGTCCAGATAACCATACTGAAAATTCAATAAAAATTAATGCAACGAAGTATTACTACAGCAATTTTTTCATGTCTGGTAAGTGAATGTGATACGGCATATTAAAGTCCCTGAACTGTTGGTTCAAAATGGGGTTTGTGTGGTTTCACCCGTCATTGATCACACATTCACACAGGGATGAATAAAATAAACTTCACAGAAATGAGGCAAGAAAAATCAACGACATTTTACCTTGATATGATACTAAACAACACATTATTTTTCGATTAAGCACATAGCTTATATTTATTGTTTTGACCATTTTTGTTGTATTTGAACATTTAATTTTTTCAAACAAAGAACTAAATTGTGAACCGCCTACACTAGATACATTTTCAGTTTATAATTTTCATCAATAAAATTGATCGTGTTAAACAAAAGTCAAAATTAATTGAACGCGTGAGAATAAAAGACTGACGCTACCAGGTTTTTTGCAAAAGCGGGATAAAAATCAGTTGCACGCAAAAGAGACATTTCAAAAGGTTGCACGCAAAAGAGAAGTATATTGTTGTTGTAATCACGGCTTTAAAATTCAAAATGCGACAAAATAAAATGTTCCGTTTGCGTGTAACCTTTTGAAATGTCTCTTTTGCGTGCAACTGATTGTTATCCCGCTTTTGCGAAAAACCTGCTAGCGTCAGTCTTTTATTCTCACGCGTTCAATTATTGTTTGCTATATCATGATTTTGAAAATATCCCAGTTTTTTTTCCCTCCCATCCTAATTTCAAGACGTTGTGCACGACGTGAAAAACGTCGACTATCTGAAAGGTTATCAAAACGTCAAATTGATATAGATTCAATATAGAAATTTAGGTAACCGACCTTTGTGAATATTTCCAAGATAAATCCAAATTTGAAATCTAAATAAATTAATGAAGAAAAATATATTAGATTAAAAAAAGGTAGACGAAATTGATTGCAAATAATTTAGGATTAAAATGTCCTTACTCGTGTGTGCCATGTTGTTGAAATGATTTAAAAAAGTTATTAAATCATTTTCACGATGAAATAAACTGAAGTTAAACAAAAACATCATTTTTTAAACATTAAAGGGCTAACCGCCTTCCGAACACTATTTCATAGCTTCGAACAATAAAAACCACAAAACCGGTATGAAGAAAAGTACGAAAAAGGAAAATATTAATCCAATTCGTATGTTTTGTTGAGCACTTTTTCCAACGAAATTTAATAATCCGAATAAACCGTGACGCTCAAAAAGATGTTCAAATTTTTGGAACCAACTGCTTTGGTTTTGAAATGGCAAACAAGTTGAAAACTTCAGACGAGTTCTAAAATTATGAAAATGTTTCATTTTCGCGAGGAAATAATTGGATCGTCCGATTTTGGTAACGGTCGGAATACAACTGATGTGGTGCTCCCGATATGAGCTTTAAGTGGGTTTTAATTAATCGATTTGAAATGAGTTTATGCATTTCTTCACATCCAATCAAATTCGTTCTGATTACCCACGTAGCTAGCTAGCTAACACAATTTTAGCATTATCCATGGTAACTCATGAAAGGACAAATGAGTCCACTAAATGAAATACTTCATTAAACATGGCGACAAATGCATCGTCAAGAAACTAAACCCACTTATAGCCGCTCAATTATTAATGGCTTTTGAACTAACAAACAATCTGGAGTAAACTAAGGCCTGTGACCACAATACACAATCCTTCAAAACGTATTTACAGTTTATTTCGAGTGCAATCAAGTAATCGATAAAATTGTTGGAAAATTTCGAATTGAAGTTGCATGAAGTATTGTTCAGCGAGTACAATTATCGAATTCACATTTGCGATTGTTTTCAGGCCAATACAATTTGTGTATTTGTGTCTTAGAACAGTTTTCTCCCCATTTTAAAGTGGATTGAGTAGCCAAGGAACTTGTGTATGTGACTGAAAATGTCGAAAATCGGATGGCTGATTTAAATTCTATATTTTATCTACAATTTAAAATGTTAATTACATAAAAGATATAAATTTCCACCTTGCCGTGGTCAGTTCGCCAAGATTTGAATAGCCATCTGAAAATGCGATGCATTGCTGAAAAGGTGACGTCTCATGCGCAGAAAATTTCACTCCCTGATACACACATGACCACTTTGAACAGACGCAAAATATGTCGTTGGAGCTAAAATAGTTTGATAGCTCACATCCCTTTACATATTTATTGGAAGTGATCCAGCACAATGATAATTCATCAAAAATCCAAATGACATTAAAATGACGTATATTAGATCTCCAAACGGTAGTCTAGATGTCAAGAAACAAGTCATTTTCCATGTGGAGAAATTACATTTTTTTGCCTTTTTGTTTATGAAAGTTTAAGTGCACTGACATTTCAATAAGTTAATTCTCCAAACTTTAAAGATTGAGCCAAAAACGGAATGTGAATCTTAAATTATATGCATGGAAATCAATCGACTTCAACGATATATTTTGTTTATGTTTATACTAATTTCCAGTTCATAATAATCATCCACTTTGACGAAATGGCAAATGTTCATTAAAATTGTATAGGTTGATAAGTCACGCTCCTTTGGCGAAACTTATTTACCAAGTCGTCAAAAATGCAGTTCACATGGAAATCACATGCGTCAGGATTTCAAAAGCCTTGAAATCAAAAATTAAAACTGCTTTCCACATTTTCTAGGCCTTTCGTTTCGAAACAGAAAATTAATGGAAAATCTTAGAAAAAAGCAGCACTGCTTTCGAAAATGTAATGATTTAAGTGTACTGAAAACATATCTCTATCTATAGTGTTCAACGTAAAAATCGATATGGAAAAACTATTTTTAATGTGGACAAATTGTGTTAGATCAAATAATTATTCTAGAATGTGGAGAGAAGTATCCCACAAATCGACCTTATTAGATTTACAAACAAACGTCTCAATGAGTCATTTGTCAATCAAATTGCAATGACATTCAAAAGAGCACATTTACATTGATTGTATATGATGGGAAAAGTTCTCTGATGACGGTCTATTATTGAAACATTGTTACGTCGTTTTGAGGTTTCAATGTCTGTATGTGATTTGATTAATGCGGTTTCCTATCAATTTCCGATTTATAATCTGTGAATTTAACTCAAATCGATACGCTGCACTCAGTATATCAAATTGGAATCGAAAATATCAACGCAAACCGCACAACTTGACTGTTTATAAAATAATATTCAAGTATATTCAAGTAGATCGTGAGCTTGCAATTTGTAACATCATCTGTCGTTTTATTTTTGATATTCGCTTCAGTTTATTATTGGCCAGCAATATCAACTCATAACTTATTCATGTGCGAAAATGAATAAATATGCAACAAAGCCGTTTTGTCGAAACACGTGTGTGTGTGTGTCGATATAGCCGATTATGTGAACTTGACACGAACACAACCGAGAAATTGTTTGGGCTACAGTTTGAGAATAAGGCGAATTTCATTTTATAGTGCCGTGGCTACTAACAAAAAGAAATACAACGGAAAATCAAATTGTCTGTGTAAATTGCATCTCTCCTATCACAGTTTTAACTGACACTGTCTATATTTGTATGTCTTATATAGGTGGGTGCAGCGTACAAGTTCAAACGTACAAAGTAAGATATGATAAGTTTCTACTCAATATGATCAATTACAAAAAAAAATCTATAATAAAAAAAATGAATGAAGTGAATAATACTATTTCAAAATTAGTTATATCAAGTACTATTTCATTCCGAATTGAAGTGGAAACGAATAAAAATGTCCGTTCATAGTCTCATCGAGATTCACTTCATTCAATTTAAAATATATATGTATATAATCAAGTGAATCGCCCATCCGTAGTTTGGATGAATGTCGATCACGATAGTTAAAAGTGCAACGTATTGAATCTAGTGAAAAGTTTAATCAGTCGACAATTGCAACTCTCTAGAGACGGATCATTACGAAGAATTGAGAAATTTTTTCAAGAAAATATTCGTTCAGATTATTTTGAACAAGTGACTTTGATTTGGTAGCAATAATGTTTGTGTTAAATTATTTTCTAGTTCTAGCGCTGTGTTTCATTCTTTTAATCAACGCACATTTAATTCAAAGCTCTGATTCAGACCCGGCTGATGAATTAGTTTTCGCCCATATTGTAAGCAGCTAAAAGAGAACTCAATTTTTGTGGAACAATTTCAACCAAGTTCAATTACATTAGAATTTATTTTTAATTTGGATTATGCCATAGTTATTTCGTCACGGAGATAGAAATATTATAAATACATACCCAACTGATCCACACAAGGATGAATCCAACTGGCCGGGTGGTTACGGTCAACTTACCAATGTAAGTAATAATGCAATTAATCTGTTTGTGTTAAGTTAATTATTTCTTTGATTTATTGACACTTTTGATTGAAGATCGGACGACAACAGCATTTCGAGTTGGGAGCCTATCTACGCAAGAGATATTTTAGTCTCATTGTCAACAATGGTTCATATCATAAAGACAACATCTATGTGAGAAGGTAAAACAATTAACACAGAAATTATTAGTACTGACCTAGATCAGGAATACAAAAAATAAATAATTTTTTCTTCTTTCCAACGAAGCACCGATGTTGATCGAACACTGATGTCAGTGTCACATATGTTGGCCGGCATGTACCCACCGAAGGACGATCAAATATGGAATAAAACGCTCTTATGGCAAGAATCTTAATTTGTTCGCTTTATTCCATTAAAATTTAGCGAAAATTTCAGACGCTTTTCTTTACAATCAATCGTTTATGCTCGGATCACTATTTACAATCGTTTTTATCGCTTTTCATAGGCAAGCAATACCAATACACACAATGCCGGAGGATACTGACCACGCTTTGGGTATGAAGGGGGATTGCCCTCTGTATGATCAAGCATACGAAGAGTACCAGCAATCAAATGAAGTTCTATTGATGCTTAAAAACAATAAAACGCTGATTCAGTATTTAGAAAAATATACCGGGAAAAATATTAGCAAAATTTGCGATGTGAAATCAGTCTATCAAGCACTGTGGGTAGAAAACTTGAAGAATTTCACGCTTCCAGCCTGGACGGATAAAGTGTTTTACGTCGGCAGCGATATGGAAAAACTCGCTAAATTCTGTTTCAAAATGCGAACGAATACAAAACAATTGGCTCGTTTGAAGGCCGGTTTCTTTGTACGAGAAATTTTGGAACGTTTTTCAGAGAAGAAGAACGCAACACTGTCCCCTGATCGCTCTCTTTGGCTTCATTCAGCTCATGACACCACAATTGCCAATGTGGGTCGCTGATACTCATTTAAGAAACTTGACAACAATCTATAGATTTTATATTTTATAAAAGATTTCATTCAATTATTTCAGGCTTTGAATGCGTTGGGTTTGTTTGAGGTAGGTTTCCATTCATTTTGCTTAGATACGTTTTTTTCTTTTACCAAATTTTGTAATGTTTGGATTTTTTTTGATCAAATATTCATTTTTCCATTTATTAATTCCATAGCCACCACAAATTCCTATTTACGCGTCATGTGTGTTCTTTGAGCTGCATAAATCCAACGGTAAATTCCATGTGGAAATATTTCACAAATCATATCGTGGAGATGATCTAGTTCCACTCCAGCCATTATTCATTCCGAACTGTGGCCAAAAGTGCCCGTTGGAAAAACTGTACGAGATTTACAAAGAAATTTTACCAACGGAAGATTTCAGCGTTGAGTGTCATGTGCCAGAAAAAAAAGTTGTGGAAATATCAAAAGGCACCACCAAAACAGCTTATGCAAACGGTTCGAATAAAAGTACGTGGAATTTTCCTTACGAAACCATTCATCTATGTTTATTCCCATTTCAAATCAAATGTTTTTCTTTATGCATATTTTATAGGTCTCCCCTTGCCCGTCTGTTTCCTAACTCTCCTAACTGGACTGATAGCTTTATTAGCTTTTAATTGATATTTCAAACAACAACTTGTGTCATTAAAACTATATGAAAACATGCATCACTGAAGAGAAGTACACACGTGAATGGCATGAGTATTAAATAAATAATGAATTTCTATCGATAAAGCCTGTCAGCCCAATGTGATTCTATTTTTATTTACTGGAAAAAAAAACTTCAAATTGCGATCCCATTGCCTTGCTAAAATTTTGTGTAATTAAATGTGACTGCATTCATGACTATCGACTTATCAGTTTCAAAACAACGTCGAAATGCAATGAAGCTTGATAAGTATTTGCTATTGTTCGATATATGAAATGCTTGATTGCACTCATCCCACTGGAAACGAAACGAAGATGAAACGACACGTTTGTTTGTTTACACTGATTGATCACAATAATAAATAATAATAGTAATAAACATGCAATTCAATGCCACAAAATGGGTTTTGATTCGAATTCGAAAGAAACAAATATCGAACAAAGAATATATTAGCCTTTGAATTTTTAAACGGAATAAATAAATATTTGTTGTATAACACAACCATCGAGTTAAACCTCTTAATATGCACAAGGAATGAAAATGGGAAAGGGAAAAAAGTTCACTTGCTTATAACTCAGTTAAGCGTAAATAGACTGTTTTTTTTTAATTTTTATCTTGCTACATAAACGCAAGTACTTCCCAAAGTTGTTTATTGTGCATCTCTCAGTGTTGTGTTTTCCCTATATTGATAGTTGAAGAAAGCGGCAAGTTTTACAAGATTGCACAAGAAATATGGTCGATTTACATTTAATAAACGAAACAATGTAACAATGCAATCACTTGGAATAATACAATCAAGTACATAAGTAAAGAGTAGCATTATCCGTCTTCTAATTTGAAGTGATCGTACAAATGATGACATCATTAATTACGTTTATTTTTATTTTTAAGAACTGGAACATAAACACTTTGGAAAGACAACGAAAAGTATTCAGTCGTATCACGTGCGGCCGCACAATCCATTTTAATAAAGAAAGCATATCTTTTTCGAAATGTAGGTATTTCAAAATAAAAAAAGGTTTTTGTTTAGCTTGCGGCTGGTGTCTCATTGTATATATTGATTACCACTTTAGACACTTTTTTCTTCCGAATCGGTGGCCCAAAATAGGATAACATATGATTTGATAAAAATAGATGAAAAAAAATATTTTTTTTTATCTGTAAATATATTTTCATGAGTAGAAAGAAAGAACTCCCATATTGCTTTGTCGAAGAAAAAAACGGAAACATGTACAAAATTCATTGGATAATTTATTGATAACAAAACATTTTTTTCGGTTGAGTACATAGGCATGTTAACCTGTACAGCATTGTTGGTGCTTGAGAAATAGAACAAAAGTTCAGTGTTCCGACAAAAGAATTGATTTATCATGTAAAATTCAAGTCGAACCGCCATCAATATAGGACAGAATCAGATAAAATCGTAGCTAAAATAATACAATAAATGAGAATTTCACATCAGTCGTCGATTCAAACTCTGTCGAATAGGGCAGTATCCCCGTCCGTTTGTCGTTACATAAACTAGCGGTGATTCCACTGAATTGTCACCGGATATTTTTTGTCTTTTCGACAATGTTAGATCTAAAGTCGATAGCTGCACTATTATTGTGTCTACAATTAGCAGCGAGTAGACTAAACATTGATTCGGAGGCGGCTGATGATGAGGAATTAATATTCGCACACGTTGTAAGTGACTGAAAATCGAAGAATTTTTCTTTTTTTTTTTAAATAAAAATTGAAGTGATTATCGTTCTTTCGATAGATTGATTTTTTTTCTTTCAAAGATTTTTCGCCATGGCGATAGAAACCCGTTGGAGAGTTATCCCAAAGACCCATGGATCGATGAATCCAACTGGCCTGAAGGTAATTTGACAAATTGTTGCTATTAAAACAGATTTGATTTACGCAATAATTAAAAATAAAAATCTGTTTTTCTTTCTGCTCGTCCCCACACATCAAAACGTTCTCATTTGCATGCAAATTCCAAAGGATATGGTCACCTAACTAATGTATTTTTGATTTTTTCATAATTAAAAGTGTTTATTCACTTGGCTTTTCATCTCCTCCATTTTGAATAAAATAATTTTGATGAGTTTTTTGAAACCATATTTCAGATTGGAAAGCGACAACATTATGCGTTGGGCAAATTTTTTCGCAAAAGATACTCGAGTTTGCTCGGAAACGGTTCATATTCACCCAATACGGTGTACATTCAGAGTGAGTAAAAGTGATATGAAAATGCCCACTTTTGATATTGAAAAAAAATATTCAATAAGTTGAACTCGTTGAATCTGGTCGTTAAAATCGAGTGTTTTTTCTGCAGGCACTGACATTGATCGAACATTGATGAGCGCTGCATCGAACATGGCTGGGTAATATATATGAAACCTATTTGCTATTTATTCTATAAACTGATTCAACTGATTTTTTGGTAGACTTTTTCCCCCAAGTGACGATGAACTATGGAATCCAAATATCGCTTGGCAACCCATACCCATACACACCATTCCAAAACGATTCGACTATGTTGTCAACGGCGAAACATATTGTCCTCGTTTCAATGAAGCCTTCGAAAAGTACACACAAACGCCCGAGTATCGGAATATTTTCATAAAGTATAGGCCTTTTATTGACTATTTAGAAAAAAATACCGGACTATCGATTCATGATCTCATTGCCATCCAAACTCTAAATAATACACTTTTTATACAAAGTATAAAGAATAAAACGTAAGTACTTTATTCTCGATTCTCTCAAATTTCTTTTCATATTCGTTGCAAATTTTCACAGTTTGCCGGATTGGACGAAGCCAGTGTTTGTGGCCGGTGGTGATTTGGAAATGTTGACAAATTTGTGCTTTGCATTGAATACAACTACACCTGTGTTGGCCCGCTTGAAAATTGGGTTTCTGTACCGTGAAATACTCGACCGTTTTGATCAGAAAATTGCATCCGAATTGACACCGAATCGTACTCTCTGGCTTTACTCTGCTCACGATTCAACCATAGCCAGTGTTTTGAATAGCATCGGACTGTTCAAGGTGATTATCATTATTGTGAAGATTCAGTTTATTTTTGTCTGTCTTTATTAACAATATTGAATCGATTTTCAGCTGCACAGTCCGCCATACGCGTCTAGTCTTCTGATCGAATTGTATAAGCAGAAAAATGAATTCTACTTCCAAATATTCTACCGAACATCAGACACTGACAACCCATTGCCATTAGAGATTCCATTGTGTGGGACGAAATGTTCAATTAAAAAATTCCGTCAAGCGTATAAAGAAATCATTCCGATCGGAAGCTATGAAGACGAGTGCCGTCTATGACATTAAATTCCCAAAATTGTTGACACTTTTACAATTTATTGATTTTTCTGAGGTTAAAATGATTTTTTTCTGAAAATTGTACTTGAAACAAAACCCACTAATTTTTCATTAAATTCAATAGTTGAACAGAGTTGCTGATTAAAAGAATTTTTCAATGAAACTGAATTACTTCTTGAATTTGTATTAATCAATCGTCGCGTGAACAATTGCCATTCGAAGTGCTCATTAACGTTATTGCCGTGCGCCGATTTTGTTATCGAAGCCAAATAATTTTGACCCTCTTTTTTGTGATCGTTCAATTATTTACATATAAGAATGAATTTGGCACGTGGATTTTTCGCGTGCAAATTCAGCTAGAATTTGAGCCGCCTGACTCATTGTACTGTGTGGCTGGTGGCAAAAAGACACATGTGCATTCAATTGCGTAAATTAGTATTCACAGCTGACAATAATAATATTAATTTACATAGGCAATAACATCATCACAAAATCAGTCCATTCCACGAAGTATTTTCTGCGAACGTTTCATTATTTCTTTGCCTGTTCACAGGTGAAATAGCTTTTCAAATTCGTAATCGCCACACAATTATCAGATTTCAAGCGAATCAGTCGCATTCTTACTTTAATTTTATTCATTTTGATTTCTTTTTGACAATTTCCAAAAGCGAAATATTTGAAGTGATGTGTTGGCTTTGGATTGTGATGATATTTTCATCGTTGTATTTACTCGCCGATGCGAGCAGATCGTCAAGGAATACCAAAAATGAAACTGTGACTTCTAATGAGCCAAAATTGATATTTGCACATGTTGTGAGTAGAATTGATTTCCGTTGTAATTTTAATTGTTCATTACGTTACACGAGTGAATTGAAGGCATGAATTAAAAAGACTTCTTTGGAGGATACTAAAATAATGTGAATAAAATCATTTAGATTTTTCGACACGGTGATCGCAACCCACTTTCAACGTATGCCAGCGATCCGAAATCCAATTGGCCCGGTGGACTGGGAGCATTAACCAATGTGAGTTTGAGTAGAACTGTTGTTTTTTCCTAGGGGACTCACGCCAATTTCCATATTTAAAATATGAACAAATAATATGAATTTGTTTATGTTTCAACATATTAAACAGATATGTATGCATAATTTCAATTTTGCTCAATTTTGTTCAATAAACCGACTGTCAGCAGAACCATGTCCAATCTGTTGTCGTCATTATCGCTTCAAAAATTCTGGAAATGGGTTTTGGTGGATCCTGTGGATTGTTCAAAACCGCTCCTGGTTCTGGAAGTGGATCCTCAGGATGGGCCAGGGCATTGTCAAACCCAGTCTGATCCATCCTGAAGATCCACCAAAAACCCACTTCCAGAACCGGGAGCAGTTTTGAACGATCCTGAGGATCCACCAAAACCCACTTCCAGAACATATTGTTCAAGGTGAATATGAACAATAACAACGCATTCGGGAAATAATACAAAATATTTGAAATCTAGCGTGAATTTTACATGATTTAAATAATACAAATAGATTTTGCTAAATAAAATTTGGCATGAATCCCCTAGGTTTTTTCTTCGGAAATTGAATGATTTTGAATAACTGAACCGCGTTTCTTGAATTACGCAACGACTTAAAAAAGCTACAAATGTGAAAATCATTTTTCAGCTTGGAATCGAACAAGAATATGAGCTAGGAAAATATTTACGAAGAAGATATGCTTCACTCCTTGGAGATGGTCATTATTCAAATGATAACGTGTATGTTCAAAGTGAGTAAAATATCGAAAATGCGTTTTCGAATTATTACCCGTGTGGAAAAATAATGACTGACTGACTTTAGATTTAGTTGACTGTAGTTGATTGGATTTATGTTTTTGTATGACGAAAATCACTTTGTCCCAAAATAAGCAAGTTATTTCGACTTGTAACTTTAAACGATTTCAGTTAACTTTGATAGACTTACACTACACGTTGTACTGAAATGTCAATCAAAGTAAGTCCTTTTTGTCCGAAATTAGTTAACTGACTGGTCAGTTACAATATTTGCACACGGGTACTTATTTGGATTTGTGTATTCCTTCAAAATTATATTTGATTGTCATTTATCCAAAAACTATCTCTTTGCGTAGGCACCGATGTAGACCGAACACTGATGAGTGCAGCAGCAAATCTGGCTGGGTAATATTGAATTGATTGTAATAATATGCAAAACCTACGTGTTATTCATACCATACACTGATCCAAGCGATTTTTTGTTAGACTTTTTCCACCCGATGACAACCAAGTGTGGAATCGTGACATAAACTGGAGGCCAATACCAATCCATTCAATCCCATTAGACTTAGATTACGTTCTATATGTGGGAAAACCTTGTCCACGCTATGATCACGCAATGGAAGAGTATTTAAATTCCTCAGAACACGCCAATCTCATAGCGAAATACAAAGAGATGTTCACTTACTTGGAAGAGAATAGTGGCGTTCAAATTCGCACATTTGACGACGCACAACTTCTGTACAACACACTTTGGATTGAAAATCAGAAAAACAAAGGGTAAGCCAAAATATGGACTAGAATAATTTCTGAATTATTCTTGTTGAAACTGTAATTTTCATTTTTAAATCCAATATAGACTTTAGCTATTATGTTCAAAAATCGAAGTTGAAAATATTTGCTTTACTTTTTTTTAATTCATAAGTTTACCCCTTTGGGCGGAGGAAGAGTTTTTGGAGAAAAGTGACTTTGAATGGGTTGCAAATCATTATTTTCAAATTCCAACCAATACATCATTGTTGGCTCGTCTAAGCAATGGATTTTTTATTCGAGAAATCTTGGAGCATTTTGAGCAGAAAATAAACGGAAGTCTATCACCAAACCGTTCTCTATTTCTTTATTCAGCCCACGATTCAACCATAGCCAATGTTTTGAATAGCCTGGGCCTTTTCGATGTAAATTTTTTATGTCATTATCAACTGAATAATATTTTTATTACATTTCTTGAACACATTTTTCTATTAAAAACCATATTTAATTTTAGCCACACAATCCACCGTATGCGTCGAGTGTCTATTTTGAGTTGTACCAATCAAACGATGAGTACTACATGCAAATAGTCTACAGAAATACAAGCGACGAGAATCCATTACCATTGGAAATCCCAAATTGTGGCACGAAATGTACGTTAAAGCAATTCAAGAGCATCTACAGTGCAATCATACCAACTGAGACGTTTGAAGAAGAATGCCAATTACCGTTGTATTTGCGAATTTTGGAAGGAAATGACATTATCGTATCGTATCAATGTAAGTCGATCTTTGATCCAAAAGTGTTTCAATTTTTTAAGAAAAAAACATTTTTCATTCGTTTCAGGGGTCATTGTTATGATTTGTATTGTTTGTCTGATGCCGTTTGTGGCAGTCATCTCATGGAAGCTATTATCACGGAACCGAGGCAATATCGTCATGGAAAATGATAATCTGAAATATTTATAAAATGCATACGATCAGCACACTTGACTGCAAATCGCTTATCGTTTGCATAAAGTTCATTCATTTTCTGCCATTCTAAAAATACCCATTGGTAGCGAAAGTTTAATCTCATCATGAGATTCTCAAGCCCGTGCTACTCAGCTTCATTTTCCTATTAGAATAGAATTTTTATCACTTGTGCATGTGTTATTTGATGACGCTTAAAGAATAAATTCATCACCAACAAAAAATTATCAATAATTTTTCTTAATTGCATTTCCACCGAAGAAACGAAGAAGTGCGTCAGCGTGTCATAGTCGCTCATTTATCGTATTCTTATTTAAACCTTGATAAAATTGGCCGGCTGAACGAAGTGAATTTTGTTTATACAATTTCGCAATCACGTTACACTCGTCTTTTTTTAGACAAGTCATTTACACCGCATATCTGTGGCAAATGTTTACGTTCAGTTCCAGTTCCGACCAACAGATGTCCAATGCCGCACACTAGTTGATATCGATTTTACGTAAGTATTGGTGCGAGTCGTCAAGAAAAAATAAACGAAACGCATTCACATAGCTGGCAAACACAAATGTTCGCCTTCTCTTTTGCAGTTCGGTCGAACAAGCATGCAGATAAAATTAAAAGTTGATAATAAGTGAAATTGTGTATTGTACGTGTGTTGGAGGCATTGTGTCGACCTTTCGACAGCCTAAACCGAAATCAGCAAATTATTCAATTTTAGTCTAAATCACTCAACCCAGTGGATTTATTCATTTCGCTCCGATAAATAATATGTGTGCTGTGAACGCATTTTGAAATATTCGTTCGCATCAAACATTCATATTTACATTTTATTCATCATTTCATGAATTAAAAATTAGAAATAATTACACAATGTTAGATGTTAGAAATTTTTTTGTTATTTTGCTATTGTCGTGCGTTGATTCTATTACGTGCAATATCACCGATATCACAAATGAAGGCCAGCTGGTGTTCGCACATGTTGTAAGTGAAATTTAACACTTTCCGTGTTTTGTTGTTAGTGTGGGTTATTTGCTTCATGGTTAAATTTATGTGTTCCGCATATTTTTTTCTCTATTTCTGCTAGATTTTTCGTCATGGTGACCGAACGCCAGTCGACCCATACACAAATGATCCATGGAAAGACCGAATTTATTGGCCTGAAGGTGGGTTACGATAAATTTCTTTTCAGTTCTTGACTTCAATATATGAACCCATTATAAACTTTGACTCCGTTGATAACGTATTTGACTTTTTCTTCACAGGTTACGGACAGATAACAAATGTAGGGCGAAAAAAAAAAATTCTTCTTACTTTCATTTGACCATGAAATTCGACACATTTACCTCATGACACTAATCTTATTACCCTTTTTCTCGTTTACCTTTAACCGTGATGATTTCAGATTGGAAAAGACCAACACTATCATTTGGGGCGGTTTTTCCGGAAAAGATACGAACAATTGCTAGGCAATGGCGAATACTTACGAGATATTGTATATATTCAAAGTGAGTTGCGATGTGAATTTTTAGTAGTGAATGAATTTGTGACAACAATTGTTTTCATTTTATTCAATAGGCACTGATGTAGATCGCACACTGATGAGCGCTGAATCAAATCTGGCCGGGTAAAATAATATTTATTGCATATTTGCAAAGCCTATTTATTCTATAAACTGATCCAACCGATTTTTTATTAGACTTTTTCCGCCCGATGGCAATCAAATGTGGAATCGTGACATAAAATGGCAGCCCATTCCTATCCACACAACTCCAGAAGTTTTGGATACGACTTTAGCCGCTAAAAAACCGTGCGCTCAATACAATAAAGCCTTAAAAAAATACCAAAGTTCACCAGAGTTTCAAGCCTTGCTCAAGAATTACAAGCCACTGTTTCAGTATTTAGAAGAAAATTCCGGTTCGCCAATCAAGACATTTGATCAGGCACAGTATTTGTACAATACACTATGGATTGAAGATTTGAAGAATTTTACGTGAGTATTCAGTGAACATTATTTATCAAACAAAATCCTTACTATTATATCAATTGTATGGCATTTTGCATTCACTACAGCTTGCCGGATTGGACGAAAAAAGTATTTCCAGGCGGCGATTTAAAATGGGTTGCCGATCGGTCATTTCAAGTGCAAACCAATACACCAACCTTGGCTCGTTTAAAATCCGGGTTTTTGCTTCGCGAGATCTTAGATCGTTTGAGCCAAAAAATTGAATCAAAACTAGACCCCAATCGCTCTCTATGGCTATATTCAGCCCACGATACGACTGTGGCCAATATTCTCAATAGTCTGGGACTCTTCGAGGTAATGACGCATTAAATGTTGTCTTTTTTCGCTTATTATTCCGCATATGACGTCCAAAAGGGATTCCAAATAGTACTTTGACTCTGTTTCAAGATTAAACATTGATAACGTATTTGATTTCTTTGCAGCCACCACACAGCCCACCGTATGCAGCCACCGTGCTGTTTGAGTTGTATAAAACGGGTGATAATTTTTACATTCAATTATTTTATAAAAATTCAACCAACGAAATTCTATCGCCATTGAATATTCCATCGTGTGGAGTGAAATGTTCGCTTGACGATTTTCGTCGTATTTACGCGTCCATCATCCCAACTGATACGTATGAAAAGGAATGTGAAGTGTCACTGATGTCAATGACCTATACTGATGTTGAATTTCGTGGTCTAGACGGCAGTTGGATTGCGCTAATTTTACTGTTTCTCATTCTATTGGTCGTCGTCACAATATCATGGAAAATGTTCCAACAAGAACGAAATGAGCAATGGTACCACCGAATCTAATTTAGTACTTATCATCTTTCTCGTCACAAAAGAACAAAAACAACAAACAAAAATTTGATTTCACACGATGCCATACAAATCATATATCAATCATACGAATCAAAGTTTAAGCCGTTTTTTTCTTTCATTAAGAGTCGTTGCAAGTCATAGGTTTATATTTTTTGAATCGACTGTTACCACAGCTCTTTAGAAGCTATTATCAATTAAACATACGAAAATAAAAAATTTTGATAAAAAGAAATTTGTGGTGGTGTTGTTGTCATTATTTAACAATCCTGGCCTTTGAACGATAAGAAAAATCGAGATATTTTTAGTTTGGTTTGTTTATTTACTTTTGTTTTGCGTTTGAATTTCAAGACATTAATAAGACACTACTGGAACGAACATTCTACATATCTCTCTTTCTACCTCTTGTCAAAAATGAATGTAAAAAAATTTTTATCTTATCGCACCTCAAAAGTGGTACGTAATTGAAAAACGTGAGATTCATTCATCAAATCTGAACGGATTGACCTGAATATCAACGGCTAAACGAGCCGTGAAATGAATTGTAAAGTACTAAAATGAGCTGCTGCGTTGTTTACCTCTTTTTCATAGATTCCTTAACCTTATAATCTAATGTCTGGTGTAAATCTAACTCAATGGCTTTACAATACTTGCGATTCAAATATTGCGTCGTAATGTTTCGAAATGGACGGAAATTGAATTTAACAAAAAAAGCGCCAAAACTAAATCTAATCCGCGAATTTGAGCGACAATTTTGAATTTTGTTCTAATTTCATTTTCTTGATTTGACTTGTCTGGTGAAAAAAAATGCAACTTAATGCAATAAATGTCTCTGCACAAGGCACATAATTGGTATTGTTATTGCTATAGTTAATGAGAGTGGTAGCAACATTGCCGCGGAACTACGTACAAAGTCCCAGTTGAAGATCTTGATGAAATTTTCCGTGTTTGACCATGGATATGAACCATCATCAAAGTACATGGGACATTGATCGCCTGAAAAAAATAAAATTGGAATTTTGATCAATACAAAATGTGTAACTTGAAGCCAATTCTATTGAAACTTTGAACAAATTTAACCACAATGAATGGCTTTCGAAATGTTTTGAGCGTGTCAAACTTACGTTCTCTTTCGTATTCGGTCATGTCCAGAGCGACGACCGCTCCTTCAGTATAATTCCATGATGTTACATCTTGTTTGATATGACAGAATGCACCGACAGCTTGTGAGATGAGCACTCGATTCAAATCGGCTCTTTGATACACCCAGCAACGATATTTCTGCAATTTCAACAAAACAACCATTGAATTTGCCTGATACTAAAAATGGATGAAGAAAAATAGGTTCAATGAAATCATACCGAAAGTGGATCCAAATCATCATAAGTAATAAGGTATGATTTTAAGTTTTCCTTGAAGAAACCAATGCATCGCAGGATGTAATCGGGGTCGTGATAAATATCAACTGGTCTACCAAGATGATCCACGGACAAACAATAGTTTTCATCAATCATAATTTCCTTTTGATCAGTTCCGCACACCGAAAAATCGGATATGTTTTGTTTGCAACGAATGTCAGGCCGAGGACTCAACGTAACACCACCAAGAATACTGTTTGTGAAATGAACATTTTCAAGCATGATTATAAGCTATGTTTTCATAGATTTATTGATTTTATTTGTGGAAAGAACATCGTTTTTACCGTGTTTTGAATGGATGTTCGCCTCTTTGCGTAAAGTTGAACTTTCCAGCTACGGGACATCGCACTGGCACCGGATTTTTTGCTGTTTAAAAAAAAAAAGAAATAGTACATATTAGCAACATAAACATTTACATGCATGAATATATAGGATGAGAACAAAATGCATAGGATCAAAATCCGGCAAAGAAATTTGATCCCACTAAACGGTAAGGTTCGAAAACTTCTAAGATAGCATAAAAATGTGTCCAAAAATGTCAACTTACATAAGAATAGATCGTATTTCCATTCTTCTCTGTTAGGGAATTGCACCCACGAGCAAACCGTACTGAAGTCATCCTTTATCACAGCCAAACCACGTCGGAATCGAATGATATTGTGATGTCTTGGTACAAAGTCGAAGCATACATAATCCTTTTGACTGGAAATTGAAAATAATAATGCAGTACACATTAAAAATTATCTGTGAAATCATAAACAAACTAAAGGTAACGAAACATCGTGATGTTTATTTTTTTATATTGTTTTTTTATGATGAAGGTAAACTCACCATCCGTCAACAGTTAAACGAGCCATCATAATACGGGTGTCTCTCTGTTCTTTGCAAACATAAATGGTTCGACGATAACGAGCCTTGTCCGGGTAGTAAGTTTCAATCAAATGAGTTTCATTAATGAAAACATCGGCATCAATGTTGGCTGTATTGACCCAATCACCGCTGAAATTCTGTGGCAAACGACAACCTGCCTCAACGACTTCCGCTTTCACTGGTGTCACACGCAATCTCTCCGGAGATTTTTCGACGGTTTTGAGGGTATTGCTACGAATAAAAATGAAAATAATTTTTTTTTTCTAAAAATCATCAATACAACATTAGTTGAACATTTTAAAAGACACATAAATTTGAAGTGATTTTGCCAACATAGACAAAAATTCTGTCTTTTTGCCAATATCACAAGAAAAAAAAACGCTGTCTCAATCCTTACCATTCGGCCGTAATTGAAACACCAATATAAAGGTCATCGTCTCGATTCTTCAAGAAACACCGATATTTTTCATCTTTTCGACTTTCTTTTGTGTTGGCCACAGCAAAGTAATGGTTCTTGCCAACAAACCAATCGCCCAGACAACTGTATTCAACGACACCGTTGAAAGTTCCCGTCATACCTTGGCATTGCTTGTATGTGATGTTGAATTTTTGATTAGTGATCAAAAATTGTGTACCGGCCGTTTGGCACGAGCGAATTTGAGCGTCTGGATTGTCACATTCACCGGTGAATCGGAAACGATTCTAAAAATAGGAATTTAAAAACAGAAATTGAGTTCAATTTATTTATACCGTATGCAACTTATCATTTAAAACAAATTATTCACAAGTGGAACAAACCTGATATGCAAATTGCCAAACACCTTCTAACGACGATCGGCAATTGATCGGAATGTAATTCTCGTTGAAAAGCGTAATGAGTTGCTGGTCAATGTTAATTCCAGTGCATACACGTTCAATAGTTGGCTCTTTGTCCGCTTCCAATGTGACACATGGGCCAACAGTCTTTTCAAACACATTTAACGTTCTTGGATAGGTTTTAACGCAATAATGGCAATTTTGTTCTTGTCTTGATTTCATAACAAACGTATAATCCGCTCCATCCCGTAGGAATGTAACACATTCACCATAGCGCGACATTGAGATATCATCAATTATGGTTAGTGTTGGTTTGCCAGATTCCCATGAAAACCAAGAACCGCGCAAGATTTGTGGCATCGAACATTTTCCATATGCTTGTTGAACTAAAAACACAAACACAAATAAAATAAGTTTTTATGCAATAAAAATAAGTTAGAAATTCTAATTAAAACATGACTAATTTGGATCTCCATTCCGGGGTGTGGCTTAAAGTTGTTGCAATTGTTACATGAAACTGTTTCGGATGTAATTCGGAAATAAAAACTTACCATAAAATATGCTAACAAATTGGAATAGCAACACTATTCTAGGTAACATGTTGTTGATGGATTAAAACATAAATACGACTCGAGGTGAAATTACTAATTAAACGAAGTAAAAAAGTTTTGAATGCAGACAACAAGAATACAATACAAACAATTAGCTGCTTTGCTACATAAACTACAAATAAATGACTGTACAAATGTCACACGCTTTTTACGTATATACATTTACGACGGTCATTATGTATTATGTGCTGCCCTCTGTCGGCGTAACGCATGCATCATTATTGCCTCGCTCTTTCTCTCTCTCTCGCTCTCCCGTTGATGATTTTGTTTTTATTTTTATACGTTTGCCATTAGAAAAAAAACGTAAATGATACATTTATGCTTTTGGGTTGTACTTTGGATTTATTTTCATTTTTTTTTCCATTGAAATCTAATGCAAAAAAAAAACGGATTTGAAACGTGATCTTTTTAGCGAACGAACCCTTTAGCAAATAAATTTGATTCATGACCAGGAAATGCTGTTGAGGTTTGAAGTTTATTGTTCTACGGACAAAAGGCTAAGGATATTAAGTAGTCGAGAGCAATCCGAATGTAAGCCTCCCACATCAACGGGTGGAAAATCTTGTAAAAAAGACTAGACTTATGAAATGAAAAATCCTATTACTTTGAAGCAGACACACACAATCTGACTAATCTGGTTCATCGCAACGAAAGCAACGATGTTCTGCCTCTGCTGCTGCCACTTTTTGATATCGTAGTCCGTTCGGCACCGATGTTCGCAACGCACGTAACAAATACAGTCATAGAAATAAAACACAATGAAGCACATAAATGGGTTCCACTCCAAAACTGCTGGGCTAAATATTGACTCCAACGGAAAAGGGATGAAAATTCATTCGGTTTGCCGCCGTTGTTGGTGTGTCCGAAGAAAAATTCGTACATGCTTCATGGGCTCATCGGTAGCGTATCGTATCATAGCAGCTCAACGGAGCGAGAGTGTAATTCGAGATACGATTAGAATCCGTACAAATACTTGCAAGTAAAACCTTTGAACTCTCACATTGGCTCCAAAATAGCAGTAATCCTTTTCGGTAGGTCGTGCATAGATATTTGGCGTGTGCGTATACGATGTACGTGCACGTATCAAAGTGTGTGAGAGTGAGAGATGCTATCGCACCGACTACTTCAAAGAATGAACATTTTCGGCGAATACAGTATACAGTATTTCGGCTTTGGCGTTGGGGTACGTCGTTTTGTTCGTGGCTTCGTTGAATCGCATCTCGAATGACCCATGTGTGTGCGGTGTGTATTTGCGCCATTCCAATTCAAAACAATGCGCATATTTAACTTTTGATACTACCCCAGTATCGAGTCACCTTTTGACTGTGTGTGCGTGCAGCCCGTTTATGCGTGTGGTGGTGCAGCACCAGCAGCAGCAGTAGCAGCACCAATACAGTTGGTTTTCCTCTGCTGATTTTGCTGGTGTTGCGTGCTTTTCAGATATTTGCATAAAACCATATATAGCACAGCATTTTCCTCGATAGCGAGAAAAGTGGAGCGTGTATGTATATACATCGATATCCGTACGGTGTGTGTGTATGTGTACATGTATACAGTTTGTCCGTAGCATGGAATGAACATTGAAGCGTATATACGGACTATCTTGTTTTCGATGGTACTCCAACGAGAGAAAAACATGTTTTTACTGCATTTTAATACAAGTTCACACACTCTCTCTCTTTCTTTCTCTCTCTCTCTACAACCGAGACGCGCACGTTATGGCAAAAATTTCTGTTGAAATATAGAGTGCGAATAGACGTTTGTGAGCACACGATAAAACGAATCGAAACGGAACACAACCATTGACGATTACGTCGACATAATCTCCCCTTTGGCAACGCAAACAGTCATTTCCATATCACACCAAGCAAATACATTCGCATACATCTGCATTTTCTATTGTTTTGTTCGTTCAATTAACAGCGATCGGACGAAGAAAAAATAGTGAAAAACGAAAGCGGGAGAATAAAGTGCGCCAGTATCGCGTAGATTTTTCATCACAACAGAGAGTAAAAAAACGAGTTTTATCAAATAAATGCAAAGCGTATAAGCCATGCAGCGAGCGAGTGTGAAATGAAAATTCAGTTCAGCCATCGAACGAACGGACAACTGAACGAACGAACGGAGTGAGCAATATACACGAAACGAAAAAAAAACACACAAGTGAAAAAGTCGAAAAAGAACGTCATACCAAAGAGAAAAAAAAATATGGAAAATTGCACAGACAGCAATTTTTCTCTGTAAACTATTTTCCCGATTTTCCGAAATATCTATATATATATACGTGTGCAAGATTTGTTCGTGTTTTGTGTTTCATTGTTGTTCTTGCGTGTTCTGTTTTCAAATGCATCGAAAATTGCCGAACTTGCTTGCATGGTGGAAGTTAAATGTGAAATTCAGTGCGGATCGAACATCGACAAAAGTGTGTATTGGAAATTTTTTTTTGTGTTGATAGGGGGTTTTTGGTCGGTGAGATTGTACGCGTTGTTATTTTTTCATCTTCTTCTACTTCAATATTTTCTCTCGGTCCCTATTCCCAGCTCTGTCGACCGAGAACAACGACAACGACGACGGTGTGGAAAATCTAAGGGAATGTTCAATTTTCGCTGCGTTATATCGCTTGATTTGTTTGCTTCCAAACAACAATCAAAAATAGCTGCTGCAACAGTGTTTCTCTAATCGTTTTTCCCCCATTCTAAATATATCCTGTATTCAATTTTGCGATTTGTTTGCAAACCAACAGTGAGAATTTGCGAACACCAATTCTCGACGTATTCAGTGCCAGTGCCATTTGCACACACAAACTGCGTGCATGTAATATGTGTGCTGTGTACTCTAGCGAAAAGTGATGGCCCATACAAAACAGGCTAATAGAATGGAACACAAAAATAATGAAGTTAATTCGAAAATAGAAAGATAGAAAAAACCGAAGTGAAATCGAATCCGATAAACGTGCACGACAGACACTAGATTGGAAATTGTCGACACATTTAATACACGGAGTATATATTCGGGGTCTATGTGTTTTTTTTTCGCACTCACTCATCCTCTCGCCTCCAAATTGTTCGATATTCCGCATGTCATTTGAGATTGTGTCTCCTCCTTTTTAACTCAGCTTATCAATAAAAGCGTTTAGCTGGAACGAATATAAAGGACCAGAAGAAACAGAATTCGGCAACATATCGTTTACAAATTCGATGACTACGACAACGACTACGTGAAGTGCGAACGCCGAAAAAAAAAACACAACGACATCTGCAATAAAATTGGAAATTGCCACCATCAAACATATACATATATATCGCAGTGGAAAAAAAAGTGACGGAGGCAAAAGAGAGTGTTGTCGATATATTGCCAATGTGAAGTTGCATCGATAATTTCGGGTGTCGAATTACACTTTTACTTACAAAATACGCACACAAAATGTCTCCCATTTCAAACAACCCGTTCGCTCTCTCGATTTGGTGAGCGAAAGCTAGCGAGTGTGTGCAAACGACGAACGAGAATCTTATATTAAACTGTACGAGGTTACAATTCTATGTATAAAAAAAGTTCTAAATTCCTTTGCGCTAATTAAACATTGGTTTCTTGAAAAATTCAGTGGAACACACCGTACACCCCAAATACTAGAATATACATCGACACACTCTTTGCCAACAGCTACTCACCCACACTCTTCGACAATGGCTACGCTCCAGTTTTTTTCCCTAGCTCTCCAATTCTCTAATCCTAATTAGAAACATTTCTGAAAAGCGTTTTACTTTGATATATATCGACGTCAATTTATATCAATACGGTTATCATCATCATCAAGTCAAATTATTATTATGAGGACAACCAATTTGTTGTTCGGGAAAAATTCCGTGGAAAGGTTCTCAAACCCCATAAAGTAGAGAAGAGCGAAAAATAAATAATAGAAAAAAAAGAGTGAAACGAACGAAGAGGAAATTTAATAGCACGACCATATTAGTGGCCATTGTGAAAAGCGACAGCAAGAGTTCATTTGAATAAAGAGTGTGTGAGTGTATCTATCTCTCTATGTAAATCTTATGCGCGCACTGTGTGTATGGACGCGTCAGCTTGAGTGTTTTGTGTGGCGTGGAGTTCATTGAAAAAGAATCACAAATGCAAGAAAAAGGTTTCCGAAGGTCTATTTTCAATAGTAGAGCATGAATGAGTGATATCATCTAAAGTGTTGTCATTAATGGTTTTGCTGCTTTTGCTCTCACTCATTCGTTCGTTTTATACAAATAACGCCACCATAATACTAAAATAACAATAAAATATCTGTCGCACCAAATGACGAATAAACTCAAGTTACTGTGTGTATTCCTGAGAACTCGAAACGACTTTGAAAATGGATTGTAGCCAAGAAATTGTGCTCACGAAGATTATTATGAAATCGTAATAATTTGTTACGCTCGGCCACAAACAATATGATGGCACAATCAATTAGTTCGAGTGCAAGGATTATATTATATGCGTCATAAATAAAAATTTATTGACATAAAAAAGAACTATAACCGAAAGAACAAGAACAAGAACAAGTGAAATTGTAATTATTTCCCAAGTATTATATTACTTGGCGCGTAATGGGCCCCTGATCGTCCACTTGAAAAAAAAGTTTCGTTCATGTAAAAAGTGTTGGAAAAAAGCGCGCACATTGCGCGAACGACTCCAAAAACCGACCGAACAAAACGTAACGAAAGGAAAGGAACTGAGCTGTGATTAGACGAATCAAATTAGCCAAATGAGAACGTTAATTTTCGTGCATAGAACCTAAAGCATTCGGGCAAAGTAAATAAATAAAGCAACAGCGAGAGGGAGAGAAACAGAAAAAGTGTGGTCATAAAGTAAAATCTCCGAACTATAAAAAGAGGAATCGTGCACGCGAGAGATAGCGATAGAGACACTTCCAAGAAGTAGCAGAAAAAAGGAAAAAGAAAAAGAAGAAGAAGTCGCGCGCGGTACATGAAGAGTTTGAGATTGAGTTTGCACAAGGAAACGCGAGAATCAAAGATAAAAAGGGAAACATCTTGGTGTTTTGGTGCTTTCATGTAGAATTCTAACAGCATTGCCATCCAAAGGCAAGCTCATTTCCATAAAAAAACTGTTTTATAAGGAAATCATGTATACGAAAAGAGCGAAGAATCAGTGGAACGAAAACGACAGCGACGACATCGACATCGACAGCAACAGCAACATTAACGACAACAACAATAACCAAACGCAACAAAATTTTACCTCGAGAAAAAAATCTAATTAAATTTCTTTGTGATGCTATTTAGAGTTAGAGCCATTTCTCTTTGAGCGCGCACGAACCCGGACAATGGCTCTAATTAATTTGAATAGAAATGACTATGTTTTTACCATATTCATCATGCTGGCGGTTTGCGTACAAGCAAGCACATACAAAGGTACGTCGAAATGGCCGAAACGAGAGAGCGATGTGCTTTTGTTCGGCGTCCATTAAAATTGCATTTTAAGTAGAACCGATAGAGAAAAGTAGGGACTGCATCAACACAAGAAAGAAAAAAATAACACATACCGACACTGGACTAAAGAGATTCGAACGGACCAAAAAATGGAAACGAAAAAACTACAAAAATACGATATTTGTAAAATGTTATGCGGCACACAGCTGCGATTTACCCCGCAGCATGTTGCCAATTCTGAATAGCCATAGCTTAAGCATTCAGCATGCCCCTTGTTTATAATTTCATCATCTTTTTGGTCGTGATTCCGCTTTTCATCGTATCGAATCTCATGCCAGCGCTCGTTCGTTCGTACGTTCATTCCTCATTTTTTTTTTGGGTGACATATTCACTGCAAAAGACGAGAGGATGAATAATATTCAGGCTCTTTTCAGGATTTTTCCGAGACAAGAGCGCATAGAATGTGTTAGAGATGCAAAAGTCTATACGTAGTGAATATGCGATAACAAGAGCAAAAGTGAACAAAAAAAATAGACAAAAAAAGACGAAAGAACAAATAATACGCTTTCAACGTGCTGCGCATTTGAATATCGCATAGTTCTTGCTTTTGCGTTGAATAATTAAAAATTCTGTGGTTTTTTTTCTTTCTTTCTTCCATTTTTGCTTTGGTGGTGGTGATGGTGCCGCTGCTTTCAATTCTCTACTTCTCTGCCTATGGTTTGGCCTGGCCATTTGGAACAAATGTGCGCACAAAACGGAAACACCATAAATAAACAACACACAGACAGTGGATACAGCATAGGCAAAGGCAGCAAAGGCAGTACATCATCCAATTCACAAAATCGTATTATGTCATCGGATTCTGCTTTATTTACGACAAGGAATAACACAAAAGTGATTGCTCAAAAAGGCGGGCTGGCCGTTTTACCATGTGCTGTCAAATGGAATCCGACCGCGACGGTAAGTTGTATATGAAAATACAAATAAATACAAAATACATGAATAAGAAGAAGAAGCAGCAGCGGCAGAAGAGCAGAAAAAAGAGTACACATTTCGTAGGCTGGTATTCGCAATTGGGATTCTCCCCGTGTGCTGCCGCCGTATATCTCTTGTGCTGTTGTGTTGAGCGCTTGATGTGTGCTCGCCGCGCTTACCATTTGATATGGCATTATAAATCACACATAAATTTTGTTCATGCATCAAATGGCACAAGTGAAAAAGAAACATTGCTATGCACACAACACACACCGTACGCTGAGAAAACACATAGCAGCACACATAACCCACAAAAATATTTAACAAGAATAACAGCGTTCGGGGTTTCGAGAACGAGGAGTTAGGAAGATCCGTAGCGAAAACTATTCGTCTATGTGTCGTAGCAGGCATAAAATATTCAAAATATGCACCGGTGTGTACATTGTGCCGATTGTTATACGTTGAGTACACGGGCACGTGCAACAGCGGACAAAAATAACAGCGACAACCGTCGACAATCATCGAATACGACGAAGACGAGGTGAGAAAGCGAGTGAGAAAGCGAGAAAGCGACAAAGATACCGAAAGTGTTGTTCAACATGTACCCTTTGTTTCTTTGAGTTTAATCGACGGCTTTTTTATGAGGCGCTTTACGTGTCGACTGTGACTCGAGTGTACATGTTTTCGATCCAGTTCGACAGGCACAACGCCACTATTTTTTGTGCTCGCATGCTTTTTCTTCCTGTCTCTCTCTCTCTCGTTCATTCCCTCATATGATCAAACGAACGAGCGAGCGAGCGAGTGAACGAACGAATGAGTAGAGAGCACATACATAATCGAGCCGATTTCGAGCACATTTTCCAAAAGGAATCAAGCAGTCGTAATTAATTCATTTGTCGACAATAAATCAATGGCTGTTTATATGAATCTTATGTTTTGTTACCATATATATTCAGAGTTTCATTTTGTAGTTTTAACATGTAAATGAATTACTTTATGGCATCGTTCGATAAATCTGCCACATAATGCAGCTTGCAGTGTGTCGCCACATCTCTCACCTTTTCAATATTCCAATGTAGTTTCCTATTCAATTTGTCGAGTATGGTAATATTTTTGCTTTGTTTCGTTTCGTATTCATTTGTCATTGTTGTTGGCATACATGTGCTGCAGGTATCATGGATTCGACGACGGGATTTTCAGTTACTGACAGTTGGTTTATCAACGTACAGCTCAGATGATAGGTTTCTCGTTGAACATGCACGACATATGGGACACTGGTCATTACGAATCAAATCGGTTCGTGAGGAGGATCGAGGACTGTACGAGTGCCAATTATCAATCCATCCGACTCAATCAATATTCATTGAGCTGAAAGTCGTTGGTAAGTGTGTTTTGCAATATATGAAAATTTATTCTGGGCACCATGGAGAACAATTCGAAAATCATCATCTTTTTCTGCACACCTTTTGGGTGGTTAGTGTAAATGCGTTGAAAATCCTTGAGTTGATTTTCCGTACGGCAAAAGAAGGAAATGATTTTTTGTTTGTTTGCCATCACTTGTGATTCGTTGCCCTTGTATCATGCAATAATCTCATTCTCGTTTATTCAAATGACGTATACAAGTCATTTAAGTCAATTGAGAAAAAAACAGATTTATCGTCGTATGCTTTTTTTTTTCTCTCAACTACTCCCTTCGTTCGGTTCGAGAAAGAGCACGCCCTACGCTGGTCTCAAGTTTATCAACACATTTAATAGGATTTCCTCTTTTTTCCCTCTTTCTCTCTTATCTTTTTCATTGCGTTTTGCATTAAAATGAAACAAAATGTGCAGAAGCGGTTGCCGATATCATCGGAGCACCTGACATTCATGTTGACGAAGGATCAACACTCCGATTAGAATGCAGACTAAGAAGGGCGACCGAGAATCCTGCGTTCGTATTCTGGTAAGAGAAAGATTTCATCCCATCTTTTTCGATTATTTTCTTTTTCCTATCACGATGCTTTGCTAAATTTAAAAAGCATTTTCGGTTCGGCTTATCATTTTCCTTGTTGAAATGGTTCCGCCGATCGATTTTCATTTATTGAATCAAGCGTAAGAAAGTAAACTAAATGGCATAACTTTTCTTCTATTACCTGTGCTGCCGTTGATGCCATTGTGTTGTGGTTGTACTTGTTTGCCATGAAATACGACCAAAAAAAAAACAGGTACCACAACACCAGGATGGTTAACTATGACACACACAATGGATTTTCAGTGTCTTCCACATTATTGCAGTCGTTGGATGAAACATTCGACTCGAATACGGCTGGTGTCAATGCGAAACTACCCCCAAATGCCACCACATCGACAAATAAAAATGCGCCAATATCGAAACCGAAAAAAACTAGCAGCAGCAGCAGTTCGCAAACGCCATCAATTAGTATACTTACCATAAATGAAGTGAGTTTTTTGCACGTCGGAAATTACACTTGTGCACCATCGAATGCAAAGCAAGCCAGCATTACGGTTCATGTTTTAAGAGGTAAAATTAATGTACATCGCAAAGCTATTAAGCACATTTTTATTGCTCATTCATTGTTATTCTTCCTACACCACTTTCGTTCGGCTCCACTTCCTATCGTTGCCTGTTTTTGTGTATCACCATCGTCCCATTCATCCACTTTCTGCCTCTCACCCACTCATTCTCTATCATCCTCACCCCCTGCTCAACCTCCTTCCCTCTCTCACCCTCGCTCGTTACACATTATCGGCTTTGGGCTCTATCACTCTACAACTCTCATTCACATACATATTATTAATTTTATTGAATCGATTTCGGTTGGCATATGTTTGGTCCGCTCTTTTCATGTATTTTCCATCCATTCATTTCGTTCCATTTATTCGGTTTGCTTTTGAACATTTATTTTTGTGCTATAATCTGGCAAATTACATCATTTTTTTTTGCTTCCTCTCTTGTTCGCTTTACCACTTACATGCCGTCATTCCCTCACCCACAATATTCTCGAATATTGACCGTTTGTAATGTTTTTCTTTTTTATTCTCTCTTTTTTCCTTTTCTTCTCTCATCGTCCTTTGTATTGGCTTTCTTTTGTGTGGTACCACCGCCAACTGTGCGCGGGGGCCCGACAACGATTGAATTTATTGCAGATGAAAAACCGGCGGCAATGCAACATGCAAATGGCAGCATAATTACCGACGAAGATATTAAATCAAATTCTAGACATTCTCAGTTACCAATGAAATCAAAGCATATCCTATTAATATTTATTTTAGTCTCTGTTATAAAATATGTTTATAGATAAAAACATTGTACATTCATTTTTAGGATTTTTTTTTTTGCGAGAATGTTCTGACAATGCTGCTACATCCGCTAACGTTGCTGCCGTTGAACCACAAAATAGAACACACAACAGCAGTAACGGCCAAAGTAGTGGCTCTAGCAGCAGCATTATCAGCGCAACAAACAACACACAGCAGATGTAATATGTATGTTATTGTATAATGTTACGAGAGAAAAAAAACGCTAAATACAAAATCTGACTGACGATTAAGTAAATGAGGAAAAAAAAAACCGTAATCATCAGAGAGTCAAGCTGCTGAAGTGAGATGGCATAAGGACGATGAGCGAGATATATATATATACAGCGAGTGAGTGAGTGAAGAAGAAAATGAAGAGAGAGAAAAAAACGCATTAAAAGCACATACAGGATAACCATAAAGCGAATGCAATAATCTCGAAAACGAATGCCAGCGTTAGATGATAATAACGAGTACACGTATGTAATAAAAGCGACACAGCAACAACAACAATATTCCTATAACTCTCTATAGTACTATCAACGGATTCAATTGAAACGCATGTAATATTTACACAAAAAATATAAAAACGAAATGATGAGGATAAGATGAAAAAATAAACACACTCACACGTACAGCAGTACACCACTCAACGGAATAAATAAACTTGATGTGGAAAAAATGCATCATCAAGCAAACTATACGTATAAACATTGATATTGAGGGCGAACTACACACGAAGTGGATAGACGTAATAATTAGAAGATTACTACTATTAAACTAAACGGCTGCATTCACATATGGGATAAAAATATATATATATATAAAATATAAGGAGAAATAAGGAAACTGATAATGAATCGAATGTAATTCAGATTTATCATGAATTGTGTTAGAAAATGAAGAATTTTTTTTCCTTCTTCATTTTGCTCGTTTTGTTCTTTGTAATTTGATTGTTTTTTTTTCTAATTTTCTGTTTGGATTTAATAAAAGGAAAAAGGAAACTATGATTATTATTATTATTAAAAATGGTTGGTGGTGTTTTCATTGTTTCTAATTTTCTGGATCCGTGGCTTTTCCATTTGTGGCTTGTGTAATAATAGTTAAGCCACTAAATTTCTCACTGCGGTCTCGGCGACTTTTGTGCTCTGTCTCTTTCTCTGCCTTCTCGACCTTTTCTTTTTTTAGTCACTGGGTCGGTTGGTTGGTTGGTAGGTCGCCTGTACACATGATATTACGGATAATCATCTGCAGATGTGGATGTTTTACATCGGTTTTAGTGTCGTAGATTGAAGCACGTCTTTTAGTGCAAAAGGTCATTAAAAAGCTCATGCATGATTAAAGTCATTGCGACGAATTGTTGCGACCCTTTTGACATTTTCCCGCTGAAAAGCCAGATCATTTAAGCTTCAAAATCTCTTTTGTGTGATGAGATGGTTTATTCTGGCCACCCATTCGTCCAATCATTTTGAATTAACTTTTTACTGACACAAATTGAATGGATTGGCTTTTGACGTGAAGCATTTGCCAGCAAACGAGCGAACCAGCGAACAGGTGAACAGGCGAACAAGCGAACAAACGAACGGTAACAAAGGCCACGACACAAATGGTAAGTGTATAAATCGGAGACCATCTCATCGTATAATGTAATACGCCATTTGTTTATGCGGTAATTGGATTTCAGCCATTAGCTATGTTAAATGATATCAATTATTTAATTTATTGTTTCGCATGATTTATTGGTATGCAATGACTCATTTATATTTTAATCAATGGATGCCTCTAAATGGCCCGTCAATCGTTCGTTCGTTTGTTGGTTGTGTGTGCATGGTGGTTAGCTGGATGGCTGGCATGACAAAACATAATTTTCCAGAGTGTCGACGGTGTTTTTGGTGTGAATAACAAACACATAATGCGGCAATTCGAGCATAGATGTTGCAGCCTAGATAGATATCCATTGAATATTTAATTCAATCAGATTATGGTGTACATACTATATGACTATGCTATACGCGCGAAATATTACGTGCTACATATAATCCGTCCGAATATAGATATGTAAAATGAATTCAATAGTTTTCCCATTCGCAATGGAGCGGAACTTCACATTTCAACACACAAACTTACACTCACACACACACACACACTCTCTGTGAGTGAGAGAGAGAAAGAGAGAGACAGCCAAACGTAAACGCAAGAAACTATATCATCGTGGCGTTATGTTGGTTTTCCTGGTTGGTGGGATATTGCTGTTGATATTTTGTTGCGCTTTGTTAAACTAATTGCCTGGAACACAACATAACAGAAGAGAACAGCATAGTATACAAAATATTGTGGTACTAAGGTGTGAATATGAACAGATATTTCTTTCGATTCGATTCAATTGAATTTTCGATAAGGAATTTTTCGTATATTTGCCTCGGCTATGCTATCAATACGTGTTCAAGAAACGACGTCGTCTTCATCGTCATCGTTGGCGGCAGCTCATATTCTCTCTCCCCCCCTATCTGTTTGTCTTATTTCCCCCTTCGCCTGCGCGAACGTATTTATTGGCATACGCTTTATTCTCTGTTTATTAGCAGAGAGATGAATAAGAAAAATATTGGGGCAGCACAATTGCCAGATTGATTCGAAGTCGTAACGCGAGAATAGCAGTTTCAACGTGATTGCCAGTGTAAGAATTTACTTCTTCGATTTCTCACCCCCACCACTTGCCGCTTCTTCCGTTGCTTTCGCCGTTTTTATTCGACAATATTCATTTTGTTCGCGATGCGTGTGCATGTTGTTTATTTCACAAAAATATCAATCTAGCGAGTCATCCTCTGTGCTGGTGGCGTGAGCGCGTATTATGCGGGTGCCTGCAAATCAAATCATTCCATCGAAAATATGTGAATAATCGAAGATTGAATTACGCTATAAAATTCGTTCGTTTATAAATTATTCATTGGTTGCGAGCGTGCACACACAATAATGTATTTCCAGGTATGAACATCGTGGCGAGAGTTGAGAGTGTGATCCTTTAGTCTAGTACAGTCTATATACACATATAAACAACATACCTGCAACCATTTGATTACTCCAATTTTCCAACATTTTTTGCGCGCACCGTACATCCATCGATTGTGTGAGCGCGCGCTTTTGCTAGCCTGTAAAAAAGCGAGAAAAGAAAATGTATATTCACGAAGTCACAGCCACATTTGTTGTTTAGCATGAAATAAAAACAACAAACGCTTTTATTTGTTTTTTTTTTGTTCTCTTTCTTTATTTGTTTTGTATAAGCAATGCAAAAACATGAATTTATTGCCTTTAATTGTATTTAAATAATAATTTGTGTATTTTCGGTATGGTTTTTGGGGTTTCTTCCTCTTCATATGTCTTTGTTGTATATGTATTCGAGTGTTTGTTTTATTTCATTTCATTTTTATTTTTGTATTTAGTGTGTCTGTGTGTGAGTGTGCATTTTGTTCGTTAATTTTACTGTCTTCGAGCTTTTCGCGCGCTTTTGGATTTCATTTTAATCGGGTCGGTCGTGTGTCTCTCTCTCTGTGTGTCTCTGATTAAAGGTCGGCTTTATTAACAATTCATTTTTATACTCGTATTTTATTTTATTAATATTCTTGTAATAACTTTTGGTTTTTATTATTTTTTCCTCCTTTTTCTTCTCTCAATTTTTTTTTGCGTAACTATTTTACTGTGAGTGTGAGTTGTGTATGCTGTATGTATATATGTATGAGTGTGTATTGTGTATGTCATCGTAAACAACATACATATATCGTAACAATGTTTCGCTTTTAATTAGTTGTTGCCGAAATGCCGAAAAATATGTTGTCAGTTGGTCACACGGCCAAAGTGCGTAAAACCAATGGATGTGAACATGTGTTCAAAGAGAAGCGAGTTTTTTTTATTCCGTTCAATCGACTTTCTCATATATATGTTCTTTTACTTTTCTGTTCTATGTGAAGTGTTTTTCTCGTGTGTTTGTTATTGTTTCGAAATGTTCAAGTTGATTTTTCTCTGTATAAAACATTTATGAAGCTTGAATGTTTCTCTCACTCACAATGATATAGATATTTTTGTATATGAATATAATAACGTGTGTGTGTTTTTTTTTCTGTGACATATTTCATGATGGCCTATCGGTCTTTGGTTATCTGTCAACTTTTACAAGCAATATGTTTATAACTTTGTATACAACCCCCCATACAGATCATATATCATTCGTGTTTGTTTCCTTACAGTGTCTAGATAATAATGCATAGGTCGGCCTTATATAATCGAAATTGAAGAAGATCCCGATAAATATTTAATGAATCCATATTGTAATCACTTGGAATTTCTTTAAGAAAAAGAGCAATAGAACAACCGAATAGAGAGAAAAAGAGCGTCTATGGGCGGAACATGAAATTATCCGAGGCGACTTTTTGTTGCTTTTTCCTTTCAATTATTCAAAATTAAAAGAATCGTTATCAAGTGAATTAATTCACGTGCATAAACGAAAGACTTGGACGCGATAACAAAAAAAAAGGACACGTTCAGAACGGAAACCGCCCATTTAATGAACATCATTTCTTAATCTAGGATTGCTTTCATTCCTTTTGGGAGGGAAGAAGATCGGTGAATCACCGTGATTTCAAATGGAAACAAAAAAAAACACAACACATAATCTCATGGTTTAATTCAACAAATCTTGGCCCACATAATGTAAAATCAAAAGGCAACCAGATACCGTTATGGTGTTTTTTCTCTTCTTTATCATATTTTCTTTTTTACCTTCACATCGAATTAAGCCACTGGCTTTTCATCTCACATTTTTTTTTCTTGTGTTTCGTGGAGTAGGAAATGGTTTTCCCTTGAAACTGCTTTGGAATTCGAAACTGGCTCCACCGGTTTAGAAGTCGCCTAGCTATTCGAATTCAATGCGAAGTAAAATAAAGATTGCGCGCGCGATTTGTGTTTGTTTGTTTGCATTTGTTCGCTACAATTTTGAAGGCTTTTTAGAATATTTTATAAAATATACCGTCTCTTAAGTAACTCATCTAATAATATTTTTTGTTCATTTTTTTCTCTCAATGTTTTCTTTGTTTTCTGTATTCGCGTCTATTTTTGTCGCTATTTTGTTCATCAATCATAGAAAGTTAATCATTTTAAAATCCAATGGGATGGTGCGATTTTGGTTTTGACGAAAACTAATTAGTCAACAGATTCGGCGAGAAGAAAGCACCGTCATAAATGTCAGTTTCATTGTCAGCAAATGCTAACCACAATAATCCTACTGAAGAAGTGGCAATTCTCCCTCATTTGAAGAAAAGCCCTCTCAATGATGCTGTTTGTGAGTGTTGTTCGTTTGCAGAGGTATTTGAGAGATAGCTTGATGTTCTTTTCTCGGAATTTATCACAATTTAACTTTCTTTGTCGTCCCTTCTTTTGAAACGGAAACAAACGTTGCGTAACGAAATTCAAAGAGCTGATTCTTATTAATCTTTATTTGGTTTGTTAGTTCAAAAGCAAATATCCACAAATGCAGAGTGAATCGAAACGTAAATGTAATTCATATTATGTGTGTGTATGTGTTTGTTTCTCTTTGTTCATCTTAAAAATAAATGCTTTGCTTTTTGTTTTGATTGTACTTCTTTTCATGTTTTGTTAAACGTCGCTAATTTTATCAAAAAATGTTAGTGTTGTTTAAGAATTGCACAAGAGCATTAATAAAAACTAAATGTAGTTAGTAGCCTTTTTGTTGTTGTTCTAGGTGTGTATGCATAATAGAATGCAATGACTCAATTTGCATAGACGCAACATATGACATATATGTTGCATGTTTAATAATTTAATTTGTTTATAATAAGTTTTTGTTGTTTTATTTATTTGTTTAAAGTTTTATAGTAAGAATTTAGGCGATTTGAATTTTATTTGTTTTAAGTAAAATTTAAGATTTGTTTTTTTTTATTTGTTGTTCATAAGTTTAATATATATTTTCAAAGTTTAATGTATAAATGTGGCTTGCTAAGCGATGGGTGTTTCGTTTGCGGCACCGAAAAGGCTCGGCCGCACACCATATAGCACACTTCTTTCGAACAGCAAGCTAAAAATATTGAAGTACAGCACAATATCGGTTTGCGATGACACTTTTTTAGTGATTTGTCATAAATTTCTTTTGTATGTGTAGCTATGCATGTTCGAGAATTGTTGGAAATGAAAATTGTCTGTGTGTTTTATGCCAACACATACTTGCACTGGTAGTATTTGATTTTTAAAGTGAACTTTCGAATTTTTGGTTATTGATCAATATGAAAACAAAACGAATGTAATTGATTTCCCCAAAAAAAAGTTCAATTTTCAAAAATACATCCAGTGCCGTATCCGTGCTCAAGTTTTCATTCATGGCAACATCATGTCCACGAGTGAGAAACTAACAGACATGTCGACAGATACACACGTTGTAGCCATGTAAAATGTATCATTGTAGACAATTTTTCCCTCGTCAGTAGAGTATGTAAATGAACTTATGGATGAGTGAAAAACATCCATAATTAAAATTTAAGTTTCATGTCTTCTGAAGTATAAATGGGAATGGAAACGAGTAATTTAACTCTTGAGCACACGACAGTCACGAAATTCAGGCTCAAAAATGGTGTGGATATAATAGCATAAGAAGTAAGAAATTTCAATCTACGTCGGCGTGATGTGAATGCTAAAAATAAACCCTTTTAGCGACATTATCGTTCCGAAAAAGGCAAAATAGCAAAGCTAAGATGCGATATCAAATACTTGAGCAAAAAGTGTATCGAATCAAGCGGATAATCAAAGTGACAAAAATGGATGAGAATGTTTGATTTTTGTTTATGTGAAAATCTAACGATATTCTTAGTCCATGGAGACGAGTGAATGTTCAATATTTTATTATTAGAATTGATGTTGTTTGAAAAGTGTTTTCTATCAAATGTTCAACCTTCAGTGTTTTCTATTCAATAAATGTGATATTTACATAAAACCACTACAATTACTAGCTAAAATGAATTGAAAATAGTATTGCTTTGTATTTCTTACATGGCAAAACGATGGGACTTTAAAAAAACGCACAACCGTTTCTGATTTTGAAGAAATAAAAAAAAACACATTTGTACTCTCTGTGTCACAACGAAACTGTGATAAAGTGGAATGATTGATTTCATACTATTTTGTTTGCGTCGTTTACATTTCAGCTTATTCTTCTTTTTTCTCACAGTTGAATTGATCATTTGATTCCAGTGAGGATGATGCGGATTTTCCGTGAGTTAAGAGCTTTCTGCTCGGGTTCAACAACATCAAATAACCATCGGTTTTTTCTAAAGTCCAATCGACCAACCATTCAAATTTCATCTAAATGCAAATATGCGTGTCCTTTTAACCATAAAAGTGCACATAATGTCTCATTGTTCGAATCAAAGAAGTGAATAAATCTCTACGCGTAAGCTATAAATTTAGTACTAATTTCAAAATATATGTGTTATTTTGTTTGGTGATAGCATGAAATGTTTAAAAGGTCATTTTAAGCAGGAAGAATTTTGTTTCTTGAATCTTTTTTTTCGGTTTTTTTTCTTTCTTCTTTTTGGTTTAAACATTGAGCAAAAAAAAATTGTGTTTGTTTGTGTCGATTAGACTGTGGTATTACAGCTTTTTTGTTGTTGCATATTTCCGCACACAAAATGCGTGTTAGGATAGGTATTTGTTAACAATTTCACAAGTGTGTGTAAGTATGTGTTTTTCTCTTTTATTTGGAAAATTTGAACAAAACGTGCCTCGCCATTTCAATTTGTCTTTAACAATGGTGCGATTTTCAATGTGCCTGGCGTGGCAACAAAATACAATCTGATAACTATACTGGCATCTACAAAATAACAATCAAACGGTTAACAACCAACAAAAAAAAACTGTGTGTTTTCCTTTGTTTCTCCTTTCTTCTTTCATTCATTCGATAATAATCATTTCAGTTAAAATAAATAAAATAACGAGCCGTCCTCTCTGCGGTCACGTCTCTGCTTCTTCCTCTTCCATTTCAATTGACTGAGCAAATACTAATTCATCGTTTTTTTCTCATTTCATCTCGTAAATATTAATCAATAACTTGTTTTTTCTTGTCAACTCTTTTCAATGTAAATATAATGTAAATATATAAATTCTAATTGCATATTGTTACATAAAAACATTTTTTTTTCTTATTTGTCTTCGGTTTGCTTTCGGAGTGTAATTTTTTTGTTGTTGTCTGTTGAAGTTTTCTTAAATATTGCGTGTACAAAACAGAGAATGCTTTAGGGTTTATTTTTGTGACTTTTTTCTTGTTTGTTTCTTTGCTTTGTTTTATTTCAGTTGTTGCTCGTTTTGCGAATTGTGCTAATTTTGTGCTCTCATTGAATATGTTCCGAATGATTTGATTTATTGACACCAGAGTGTCGCGCAAAATATAGCAATGCCAATATTCAATCATCAATTTAACTCTCCTGTCATTGAATTCTCGTCCACAATTTAATCGTTTTTGTCATTTAAAAACTAACATAACATGAAAATTGAACGAAAATCGCGAGCGTGCGCGTAATATTAAACGTTAAACGTTTTGTTTGTTTGTTAATACTTTCTAAAAAAGGCTATGTTTATGTAGTTTTTGTTTTCTTATTCGTCATTTTCACAAAACATGTTGTTGTTGTTGTTTTGTGTGAGTTTTTTCTAATGTTCGTTAGTCTTATTCAGTGGTTATTGTTGCTCAAGTCGTCGTCTGCGTCTTTGAATTGGTGATGGTTCTTGGCAGCCCACGCTAATCATGTTGCTGTGGTGTTTCCTGCAAATTATGCGGAATGGAGGGAAGAAAGAGAGAGAGAGAGAGAGAGAAATGAGTTGGATTTGACCTTTAGAATGTTTGTTACATTTTATGTAACGAAACATCGACGTGTACAGAATATATAGCATGCAAAACAAAATGCGAAAAAAAACGAAAAGAAACGAGTTAATTAATTGAAAACCCACATTTTACCATTAATCACCGCCTAAGCTCAAGGCTTGTACGATTCGTGGGTCTGCTTTGCTGCCATCTCGGAATTCCTCCAGCGTCAATTTGTCGTCGTGATTCTTATCCATTTGATCGAAAATCTTATCGACACGTTTTTGTGGTGTATTCTCATCTTCGGACTGTGGTTGCTGGCCCTGTGTGAATGCATTAAATTTTGGAAATGAAAGCAACGTTTCGATAGCATTGTTTGTATTGACAAAAAAGGGCAAACCATTGCCATCGTGTGTGTGCGAGAGAGAGAGATAGGGGCTTATCATCATTATCAATGGAATGTTTCAATTATGCAATGTATGCGATGTCACACGATGGAGATGATTATACAATGGAATTGGATTTTAAGGCAATATTTCACTTACCACCATCTGATAAATTGCGTCAACGATATTATACATTTCGTCTCGTGTTATGAACCCATCATTGTCCACATCATAAAGTCTGAATGCCCCTGTAATTTTGCACCACATTTTTTTTGAACGTGTATGTAACCGTTTGTTTGTGTGTGTGTGTGTGTGTGTGTGGGTTGGTTGATGCGAATAGTGTTGGAATGTACAAAAATAGAAAAGACAAAATTTTGTGAATGGTCTGGCTTTTATCAGTGTAATTTATGCTTTTTCTTTTTTCGTTTTTGCACAATAAAAAAAAATAAGAGAGAAACGGTAACATCAAAATTGCACGCTATCTAAAGGAATTTCCGAAATTATGATAGCTCCTGAGCTCGACGATTTCGAGTCACTTTCTCACGATAGGAAGTTTCGAATAAAGAGTACATAAAAGTAAATTGAGTTGTGTGTATCTGGGGGGGACAGACGAAAGTTGTAAATTGCACCATTTTTGTTACACATTTTATGGTTCAATTTTGTGCGAGGCAGACACAAAAAGGATAGACAAACATAAAAATGCCGCCACTCCTATCGATATGGAATTTGCGTTATTCGCAAATGGGATATTTTGCGTCGCGCAACAACGGCCGATCCAGCCGCAGCAATAGCAACAACAACAAAAGGGAAAACAAACAAAATTGATGAAAAGATGTAGAAAAAAGCACTTACAATGCAGTTTTTCATCCAGATTTCCTCTTGATGTAACCGATAACGCTCGGATGAATTCTTCAAATTCAATCGATCCATCCTTTTTGGTTGACGAATACAATATTTTTCGACGCCAAAGTTGTGGAACGAATTGGAACGGAGAAGAAGAAGAAAATAGCAAATCGTATTAATGGATTTTTCGGGCATATGATAAATTTTATGGTCGGTTGTAATGTTTATGAGTTTGTGCCCAACTGTGTGTGTATTACGTATTACTACTTACATTATTCTCGTCGAAAACTCGAAATACCAATGACGCAAACTTGCTTGGATCACCTTGTGGGAAGAATTGTTTGTAAATTTTTATGAAACCCTGCAAAAAGCAAAAGTATGTATCAATCGGACGTGTTGTAATCCATCAACGAAAATCAGTGGACATAGAGATGGAGAGAGAGAGAGAGGTAGAAAATGAATTTAACTTACTTGCTCTGTTAGTAAGCCATTCGGGCAGTCTTTTAAAAATCCCTTATACCTTGAAAAATTGAAAAGCTCAATTATTAGTTTAATGGAAAATGGTCAGTTTTGGGTTATTAAAAGTATGAGTGGAATATTTGAAAAGTGGTCAAAATGAAAGTTGCACAATATTGGCTTTGATGGTGGCTTTTCGACGAACATATTCATTACATTATACAAATATA